AAACAATTATAGACTTAATCAGTGTAAATGCACTGAGTTTAGATTGATACATTATAAATTAATCTAGACGTAAAATATAATAACTATATAGTAATTTAGTGTAAATTTATTATAATAAAAAATTAAGTTTTAATAATTTGCATTAATAATGTATGACTTGTGATGTATAAAATAATTTTATTGTAAAATAGTTTATTTCTATTGCAATTTATTTTAATATTACTGTTAAAAAGTGTATAAATTATTAATTAGACATAAAAAACCTTATTATGTAGCGTAATTTTAATGAATATAACATAGAAATATAGTATAATATTGTAATGAATGTATATGAATTGTGTAATAATCCATTATTTCACTGTCAGCTAATGAAAAGTTAAAGTAATATATTATAATTAATTGTAATAATAGGTAATAATAGTAATGTATAATATTTTTAATATAAATTAATAAAAATATAGTTGAATATCATTTAGTTATATTAATAATTAATATGATCATAGTGTAGTATAATATACTTATACTGTATATGAGTTAAATAATGTAAGTATATATTATATTTATATAATTGTTTAGTTAAATAGTGTAAAAGTAGTTAAATATAACAAAATTATATAATAAATTAATGTAAATGTAGTAGAATATATTAGTTATAGTATATATTTGTGTAGTAAAATAAAGTTGTACTATTATCTAGAGTTGGTAATTGTAATGTACTATAATGTCACGATAATGCAATCTAGTGTGAGTGTAAAGTAGTATAATAATGTTATACTGTTTAAAAATCTAAATGTAATACATCATACTTAATGTTAAGATATTTTTAACTAATATAGTGCAGAATAGATTACTATTTTTGTTAACAAGTGTATAGAGAATTGATTATAATAACATTTTTAATTAGTATAGATATAGTTATATATAATAAAGTTATATTATATGATACAATATAACGTATTATAAAGAAATATTTCATTGTTATGTCGTAAATTATTGTAAAGATACTTTTAAATATACATAGTTATAAAGTAAAATATAATAATATTTATTATAAATATTGTGCTATAACCTATAATTATCTTAAAAATTAGTTGACTATAGTGTAGGATAATATAGTTATACTGTTTAAATGGTGTAAGTATACTACATAATTGTGTTTAAGCTAGTTAGTTATAGATCAAATAATTTAGATGTGTAATAGGATTAAACATATTTTTTTTATTAATTATACTATTATTAATTAATATAAATTAGTTTGTTGAGTATATTTCAAATATTTTATATTATTATCAAATGCAAAACCAATAAATTATAACGTTATATTAATAATTACTGCTTTAATTAAATATGGCATGGTCATACTGTTTAATGGTATAATGTAGTACAGTATAACATAAATATAAAAATAACATTATATCTTTAAACTGTATTATCTGTTTGTGTAATTGTATAGGTAAATGTAATTAAACAGTGTTATATAGAATAGTTAAAATATAAATTAATATAGAAATAGTGTAAAATAAGACAGTATTATTAAAAAACAATATAAAATCGTTATTTATTTTAGTTATTGAATATAAAAGATATTATGTATAAGATTATTAATAGTATATAATTATTTATATATTATAATATGTTAAAACAGTCATAATGTAAATTAATGTTTTAGTTTTCGTTGATCATAATAAAGATATATTATTTAATATTTAAAAATATATCATAATGTTTAATTAATATGCTAATAATATATCATACATATATAGTAAAATATATTGTAATAGTTTAATATATTATAATTATTTGTAAAATATCATACTAGTATAATATAAAATCACTAAAATGTAAAATAGTGTATTTGTAATATAATTTATTATATTTTTTATAATAAATTTTAACTTCTGTAATTGTAATATGCCAATAATTTTTAAAATAATGTTTTAAAAATGAATTTATTATATATAATAAAAAATTTATTTTTTTAATTATATTGAATAAACAATAATAAAATATAAATAAATTAGTGTTTAATAATTTTAATGTATTAATAAAATAATATAAGGTTAGTATAGTCAAATAATACAGTAATAGTGTAATATAATTTAGTTATATAACTTAATAATACGAATTGTAATATGAAAATGTAATACTGAAAAAAGATTTAAATAAATTAAATAAAATAGTATTATTTAAAAAAAAAATTATGGTAATAAAATTAACTATGAAGTAAATATATATAATTTTACTAAATAGTTTATTAGTATATAATCTAATATAGAAATTAATTATTCCAATGCTACTATATTACAACAATAATAGTTAAAAATAATAGTACAATACAATGTATATTATGACATAATAGGGTATTATAATGTATAACTAGTAAAATATTATAAAAATTAGTATAATATATGCTAGAGTACAATAAATAATAGATATATTTTAGTAAAATGTACAAATATTTAAAATTAATGTAGAAATATAAATATATAACATAATAGTAATGTATCTTTATAAATTTATAGTACAATATTATTTATTTATAATATAAAATAAAATAGTTTTCTTTTAAAATAATTTTTATGTGTGTAATATGTTTTAATATGTTAATAAAATGTATTATGTATTATTAATTTTAAGTTAATATATTATTAAATAAAATAATATTAGTATTTGACGGTTTAGTCTGTGAGTTAACCGTCATATAGCCTTAAAATGAATTTTAAGTAAAATTTACAAAACAATAAGTAAAGCTAGATATATTTTATAAGGAACTGTAACGTAATTTATGAATTAAAAGATTACTTATCAAAGATTAAGGGGTATGGTCAATTTTTATAGCTTATCTATTACGTCACAGTGTATATGAATGACCCATTTGAAGTTCTGTTTATTGATAGCTGCGTTATATATAACTAATATTATTTTGAAGTCTTGTATCTGTCTCGGAGATGGATTACTGATCCGAAGATCCGGAATAATGACCAAACTTTCTTACATAGTTAATGTAATTAAAAGTTGACGTAGTATAATATTTCAAAAATAGTATATGTTTTGGTACAATATATCATAGATATATATTACTAAAATGTAAAAATAATAGAATATAATGCAGTAATATTAATACTTGTACTCAGTATGATAATATTATAACATTATAGATAAATTAATAGGTATTTTTTATAGTACAATATTGATAATTAATATAAATTAAGATATTATTAATAACAATTTAAGTAGTAGTTTAATTATCACTTATATACAGTACATAGATTTAATATAACCAAGTTACTCTTTATTTTATATACTTTACAAGTTACTATACAGTATAATATACTGTAATACATATATTCTTTACAACGCAAAGAAAATTACTTATACAATATAACTTTAACATAAATAAATTAAATATTGCTTTTAAAACTTAATCTTCGAAAAAAACAGTATTATATCTTTAGTATATAACTCAACGAAAAATTTTCTATCATAACTGTCTAAATATATATATATGTATATATTTTTATTACAGAACCACTAGTATATACAGCCAATCCGTATTATAAACAATATCTAATATATACCTTATTAAACTTATAGCTACGATATATATATATATATATAATGACTATAACTAGGTTTAGGAATTCATTATTTTTATCTATATTTTTAAACTAGTAATGACCGGTTCTTTAATCATGTGATTGCATTAACACTAATAAACCGGTTTGAACCAGTTATATTGAATCAACATTTAATAACCGGTTTTGCGCAGACGTAGTACATAGCTCAACGTATTGCATACAAGCTATCTTAATATCTAGCATTATTCTATTAGAGTGTATTAATGGATGCACTTAAGTTATATATATTAGTTAATATATAAATAATCGTAAAACTTGTAATAAACTATTTTAATTCACAGTATATTATAATTATTTATAATAATAGTCTTTAGTGTAATAATAAGAACTACTGAATTTTGCATTGCATCATTTTTTATTTTAAATAATTTTATCAAAACTTACTTCAATTGTAACAAAAAAATTATTTTATTACTTATTATACTAAGTTATAACAAGAGTTAACTACTATTCTAGTGTTATGATTATTTTAAGTAAAAGAAATAATAGTAATATATTAGTGTTAATAATAATATCAAGAAACTCATTGCATCATCTATAATTATATATATTTTTTGATAAACATATGATTGCATCAACATTTATGCATTAACAGCATTTACACTTTGTGCGCAGGCGTAATACATAGTACCACATATTGCAAGCATTGCATAGCAGTTAACGCATTTCATTAGCTTTGCATAGCTTTAAACGTTCACTTCATTTAATTTATCTTATTATACATGTTATAAACAGGTAATCTTATAAGTATATTAATGTTTTAAAGTACTTTATTATTAAATTATTGTTAGTTGATATATAACTAATATTACAATTATTAGTATGTTAATAATTTTATTATAATTTGTTATTTTAAATAATATAATATATAAATATATATTATTTATTTTAGATATATAATAATTATAACAATATCTAATTGTGTTATAAATATTAATAAGCATTGCGTCATAAATAATTATTTTATTTAAACGCAGGCGCTTAATATAGCGCACAGTAAATTGCAAGCAATATATACTTCAATCTCAATAAGATTATATATTATAGTGTTATTAAAACGTATTTTTTATTTATTTTTACGTGTTTGTAGTGTGATAATTAGTATATCATTAAAATATGAATTTTAACACCGGCGACTCAAAAACAATTAAATCACAATCAATTGAAATAATACCTGTTGTGAATAATCAAAAAGAGCAGTTAATAAAAAGTTTTAAAAAGCGAAGTGTTATCACAATTAATTGCAAATCTTATTCATCTGGATATCATGCTATTTGGATAGGAAGCGTCTGGCATTATTATGGCTTTGATAAACAAAAACTATCCAATAATCTTCATTGGTTTAAAATTATTGCTGCAAAGGGATATAGTCCAAACATTCAAACTCGTGGTACACAAAAGTTATGTCGCTTAGCTGAGATCAATTATAGTGAGAAATTAGGGTCACACAATTGGGACTTAATGCAAGATTATCTATTAACTGTAAATATAAAAGGTAATCTAGGGTTACAGTTGATTATTATAAACTCTGATAATAATAAGTATATTTATCAACGTGAGTGTTTAAATAATTTATCATTGAAAATATATTTAGAATTTATACCTATTAAATCAAAATATAATTTTATTAAAAATAAAAACAAATACTTTTTTGTTAAAAAATAATAATGAATAATTATTATGAGTAATAATTATAAATACCAATTTAAATTATTTTATTAATTATATTATACTTAATTGTAATTAACTTTTATTTAATTGTATTTAATTATTTAATTGTATTTAACTATTTAATTGTATTTAACTATTTAATTGTATTTAACTTGAAATATGATAAATAAATAAATTTAATTAATTAATCAAAAAATAGAAGCATAATTAAAAAACATTTTTTATTTCATGTGATGCAATATGTCACGTGACATATTGCATAACATCACTTTTACACATTTACATAATTTATGAATGGTCAATAGTACTACTACTACATGTAGTAGTACTATTTCGTTCATAACTTTTACGCACGGACTGATCGGATTAACTGATAAGAGGATTAGTAGGGGATTAAAGGATTAAAACTATAGGAGGATTAAATCGCGTGTCAAGTGCTATATATACTACTATTAGTTATTATTATTTTTTTTTAATTTTATTTCAAGTCATTAAAGAATTTTATTTTATTAAAAAATATATAAATTTATATCTAAAAAAAATTAAGACAATTTTTACTTGTAATTAAATATTTTAGATATTTTCTAAACTTTATTACAAAATGATTAATCAATAATTTATATTTTATAAAGAAATTTTATTTCTATATAAAAATAACTTTAAATAATTTTTAATGATGACAATTACAAATAAAAATATTATAATTTTTAAATATTTATTTTTAAAAAATAAATAACTATTACTATTACTACTACTACTACACACTAAACACACATACAATGTATATATATATATATATACCTGTAGTATAAACAACAATACATTTAATTTACTAAAAAAATAGTATTGTATAATATTACATAAGTACATGAAATAATAATAATTATTATTATTATTCAAAATTATTACTGAATTATAATTTATAATTCACCAACAACAAAAATTATAAATTAAAAAATAACTAAATACCCAACAAACTTAACTAAACTTAAAAATATCAAATTAAATATACAGTAATAAACTTATTATTTGTTTAATTTGACTTAAAGTATTAAAAAATTTATTTAGTATTAAAAATAATTATTTTTTAAAAAAAATTAATAATAATAATTTTGTTGTTGTTGAAATAATGAAAGTCATCAAAAAAACAAAAAAAATTACTTAAAAATAATAAATAGCAGATATTATTATTATTATTATTATTTTATCATTTAATATTATTATGTATATTATTAACATTATTATTTATTATATTATTATATTAAGTTTTTTTTGTTTTAAAAAAAATTACTAGTCATTGGAAAAATTTTAAAAATTTCTAATAATTTAAATAATATACTACTAGTATATATAATTTAAACTGTTTTTACTGTTTTTTATACTATTGTTTATATTGTTTATTGTTTAATAGATTTATTAAAAAAAAATCAAAATAAAGTTTATTTTTTTCTCAATTTATTATTGTTAACAACAATATGTCTGTATTATTGTCGCAATTAATTTTGTGGTTTATATCAGATATATGGATAACAATATCAAGTTTACTAATTGCTTATATGGTCTATAAAGTGGCAAAATTTTATTATCAATATTTTAGTCTACCTCCCGGTCCATTTCCATTGCCAATAATAGGCAATATTTTATGTAAATATATTTTTTTTAATATCTAATATTTTCTAATATTTTCTAATATTTTCTAATATTTACTAATATTTTCTAATATTTTCTAATATTTTCTAATATTTACTAATATTTTCTAATATTTTCTAATATTTTCTAATATTTTCTAATATTTACTAATATTTTCTAATATTTTCTAATATTTTCTAATATTTTCTAATATTTTCTAATATTTTCTAATATTTTCTAATATTTTCTAATATTTTCTAATATTTTCTAATATTTTCTAATATTTTCTAATATTTTCTAATATTTTCTAATATTTTCTAATATTTTCTAATATTTTCTAATATTTTCTAATATTTTCTAATATTTTCTAATATTTTCTAATATTTTCTAATATTTTCTAATATTTTCTAATATATTCTAATATTTTCTAATATTTTCTAATATTTTCTAATATTTTCTAATATTTTCTAATATATTCTAATATTTTCTAATATATTCTAATATTTTCTAATATTTTCTAATATTTTCTAATATTATTTTAATTAATTAATTATATTAAAAGCATTTCGATCTAAACACCATTCGGACGACATATTTAGGCAAATGTCCAAAAAATATGGACCAATATTTACAATACATATGTTTAATACACCGCTTATTGTTATCACTGACATAGATATTGCTAGAAATGTATTCAATAGAAACGATTTTGCCGGACGTCCTAATAGCTATTTTGGTAAATAATTATTGAAATAATAATAATTAGTTTAATAATTATAATAATAATTAGTTTAATAATTATAATAATAATATTAGTTTAATAATTATAATAATAATTAGTTTAATAATTATAATAATAATTAGTTTAATAATTATAATAATAATTAGTTTAATAATTATAATAATAATTAGTTTAATAATTATAATAATAATTAGTTTAATAATTATAATAATAATATTAGTTTATTAGTATAGAAATAAATTATGTGTTATAACTTATTATTTTTGTAATTTTTTTCAATTATTTATTTTTTTCAATTTTTTAATTTTCTTAAATTTTTTAATTGTATTTTTATTTTGCTAAAATTTAAAGGAAGTTTATTTACAAACAGCAAACATTGTGATGTAATTTTCAACGATTACGGCCACTCATGGAAAGCACTGAGACGTGTAGCGCACGCGGCCATACAGTACGTGTTTTTTTCACTAAGTTTTAGTTTTTTATATTTTAATTAAATTAATTAAATTATTTTTTAAAAAAAAGAAAATATTCAATAAATGAGCGTTTGGTGAACGTAACGGTCGATTCTGTTGATAAAACAGTGGGAATAATGTTAGAAACTGATGGTCCGGACAAACCAATCAAACCGTTTGATTATATATACCATATGTTTCTGAATGTTTTGGCTAATAGTACTTTTGGTGAAAAGTATTTATTTATTTATTTAAAAAATATTAATAATTTAAACAACAATATATATATACTATCATATATACCGTATAAACCAATATAAACCCCAATAATATATATATATATAAAAGGGTAAGCAGGTAAGGCTAAATGACCCCACCCTCTGAATTTAAGTAAGTTTTTTAATACAGAATTATTCTATTTTTTAAAATTTTAGTTTTAGTTAAAATTTAAGTTTTTCATTATTATTTTTTTTGCAAATTTTTTATTGAGGGAATATTATATCTATTTTCATAAAAATTTACATTGGGAATTTTCGGGGAATTTATGGAATTTTTATTTATTATTTTTAAAATTATCTTTCAGACTCTATCTTAGGTTACCCCACCAAAAAAATAAACATTATTTAAACATTGATAAAATATATATATATTTATTTTTACACTTTTTTACAGCTATAACATGAATGATCCGGAATTTAAATTTTTAAAATATTTTCTAAACGATTTCATTATAAAAGAAGCTGGGTCACATTTTTTATTATGGGATATATCGCCTATAATACGTTTATTGGACAGAAAATTGGTTACGAAACATCAAAAACTAATTGCAAAATCAATTAGTCTAATATCCCGAAAATTTACCGAACATTACTTGGATTATAATCCCGATATTGAACGTGATTTTTGCGATGCATTGATTGCTAGTAAAAATGATGCCATCCGTGAGGGCAAACAGTCCCGACCCTATCTAACCGATCGGAATCTATCGATGACATTGTTGGACCTGTTTATTGCCGGTACCGATACTAGTCATCGTACATTTCAATGGTTGCTATTGTTTTTAGCCTATTATCCCGGGATTCAATGGAAATTACGCGAAGAAATTAATAGACAAATAGGTGACCGATTGCCCAGACATGAGGACAGACATCTGTGTCATTATGTGATGGCATTTATATCGGAAACCTTACGCTACAGTAATGTTATACCAATGGGTGGTCTGCATAGTGCTGTAGTTGATAGTAAAATAGGTATTATTTTTGTGATTTTGTACTTTAATTATAAAATTTTTAAGTATTTTAAGTTATAATTAAAAAGAAATATTAAAATTTATAATTTAAATTATATATATTAATAATCTAGTAATATATCTACAGTATATACATATATATATATATATATATATAAACTATAGGACAATTGTGTACAAATTGGCTTATTGTATACAATATATATACATTATATATACAGTATATACACATTATATATACAGTATATACATTTAATATACAGTATTAACATATTAAATAAGCTATAGTTACTATTTTTTTTAAAAAGTAAATTTATCTAGCTTAATTTAATGTTAAATTATTATAAGCCATTTATATATAATAATTGTATCCAGTTTTATGGTCATATATATATATATATATATATATATTGATATATAAATAATTTAAAATAAATAATAATAATAAAACTAAATATTTCAGGTGACTATACTATACCTAAAGGTATGTCCATAATATGCTATCAGGGTATTGTATTGCGAAACAATGATACAAATCAATGGACTAATGGCCTGGATTTCCTACCCGAGCGTTTCATTGACCCGATTAGTGGCCAGTTTCTGGCCAACCAATTGCCTCCATCGTACATACCGTTTGGTTTGGGACGTCGTGTTTGTTTAGGCGAAAAGCTGGCCATAGCTAACCTATTCCTAGTGTTGGTCCGTTTTCTACAATCAACCCATAACTATGATATTTGTTTAGCCAATAATGATAAACCAATTGATCGTTTAATTACTATAAAAGCCGATCCGTCTATTACTGACGCATTCAGTCCCTATGAATATGAAATTATATTCAAATCTAAAAACTAATTATTATTATTATTATTATTATTATTTGTTGTTTTTTTAAAAAAAATTAATTATTAAATAAATTAAATTAAATAAAATCTTGTACATTATTATTATTAAAAACAATTATATTAAAATTGAACAAATTTTTGTTTATAAAAAAATAATAAATTTTTTTTAATTAACAAATTCTTATTATTTATTTTTTATATATTTATTATTAGTATTAAATTGCAAATAAGATTTTGTGACATTTTTTTTAAATTAAAAAATATTTTTATTTAATTATTAAATAATACAATTAAATAAAAATCTTGTACATTATTTTATTAAAAAATATTATTTTAAAATTGAACTATTTTTTTGTTTATAAAAAAAATAATAAAAATTTTTTTTTAATTATCAAATTCTTAATATTTATTTTTTATATATTTATTATTAGTAGTAAATTGCAAATAAGATATTGTGATATTTATTTTTTTTAATAATTATTAATAAAAAAAATTAAATAAAATCTTGTACATTATTTTATTAAAAAACAGATATTAGATATTAATATTAATTAAATCTTTATTGAATTTTTTTTATAATTAATTAATTATTTGTATTTTTTTGAAAATATATTTATTGTTTGACTAATATGTTTTAGCTAAACTAAAATTATAATCTATACATATACTATGACATCTATTGATAGTAAATAAAAAAAAAGTTATTTTAATTTAAAAATTGCTTTTATTAAATAATTGAACCAGTTAAGTTAATCTTGTACATTATTATATTGAAAACATTTAGTTAATACCAATATTACTCAAAATTTTTAACAAAATTTTAATTTATAATTTTAAATAATGACAAATTATTGACAAATTATTTTAATTAAATAACAATATATATAGAATTTTTTTTAAAAAAAATTATATTCAATTAAATATTTTAATTAAAATAATTATTATATTAAAAATGTTTTTATTAAATCTATTTTATTACATTTATTATTTAAAATTTAAAAAGATAAAATTAGAAATTTGAAATTGTTTTTATTAAATATTAAAGCAATTAAGTTAAACTCGTATATTATTATATTGAAAACAAATTGTTAATAAAAAATATTAACTAAAATAATTAACTAACATAATTTTAGATTAAAATTTTAAATAGTTATAAAAAGTTAAACAAATTATTCACAAATTATTTTAATTAAATGTTTAAAATCTAATGTATATTATGACATCTAGTATAGAAAATTTTAAAAAGTTATTATAATTTAAAAAATTGTTTTTATTAAATAACAGAATCAATCAAGTTAATCTTGTACATTATTATATTGAAACCAATTAGTTAATACTAATATTAATCAAAATTTTTAACAAAATTTTAATTTATAATTTTAAATAAACAAATTATTGACAATTTTTTTAATTAAATGACTTAATATATAATGTATATTGTGACATCTATTATTTAAAATTTAAAAAGATAAAATTAGAAATTGTTTTTATTAAATATTAAAGCAATTAAGTTAAACTCGTACATTATTATATTGAAAACAAATTGTTAATAAAAATATTAACTAAAATCTTAACATAATTTTAGATTAAAATTTTAAAATAAACAAATTATTCACAAATTATTTTAATTAAATAACTTAAAAACTAATGTATATTGTGACATCTATTATAATAAATTTTAAAAAGTTATTATAATTTAAAAATTGTTTTTATTAAATAATTGAATCAATTAAGTTAATCTTGTACATTATTATATTGAAAACTATTAGTTAATACTAACATTAATCAAAAAATTTAATAATATTTTAATTTATAATTTTAAATAAACAAATTATCGATAGTTTTTTAATTAAATGATCTAAAATGTAATGAATATTATGACATCTAGTATATAGAATTTTAAAAAAATATTATTATAAATAAAATATTTTAATTAAAATAATTATTTTATTATAAAATGTTTTTATTTGATCTATTCTATGACATCTATTATTTAAAATTAAAAATTGTTTTTATTAAATTTTAAAGCAATTAAGTAAAAAACTAGTACATTATTATATTGAAAACAAATTGTTAATAAAAATATTAACTAAAATCTTAACATAATTTTAGATTAAAATTTTAAATAAACAAATTATTGACAATTTTTTTTAATTAAATGACTTAAAATATAATGTATATTTTGACATCTATTATTTAAAATTAAAAAAGATAAAATTATAAATTAATTTTTTTTATTAAATTATTAAATCAAGTAAGTTAAACTTGTACACTATTATATTGAAAACAAATTGTTAATACAAATATTAATTAAATTTTTAACATTAAAATAAAATAAATAATTAAATAATGCTTATCATTAGTAAACTATATAGTTTAGTTAATTATATATAAATTTCTAAAAAATGTGTTTAATTAAAAAAAAATATTATTTATTATATATGATTTTAAATGTATATTTTTATTTTATTAAATTAAAAAATAGTTGTTTTATTTTTATTTTTTTTTTTGAAAATAATATTAACAAAAAAAATTAATTAATTAATTCAATAAAATTCGTTCAATTCTACTAACAGGCGCTTCAAACAAACAATAAGCCAAATAACTGACAAAAATTGCCAAAACTGACCATTGAATGAATGACATAATCTGTTAATAATAATAATAATAATAAAAATTTAAAAAATATAATTAATTAATTTTTTTATAATACAAACCACTTCAGTTATATTATAATAAATTGGTTGTTCAGTTGTATAGATAAACAATTGAATCAATACATAATGATAGAGATATGTCTGATAGGATAGTTTGCTTAGGGGTACAAACACTTGATGGGATAGTAGCCGATTAATTGGACCACCCTGGCCAATTGAACAACTATATAGTATATAGGCCCAGCCTAAACCAATTAGTGTATGCTGTAGTGTACCATAGATGATACTGGCAACATTATCGTAACGATAGCCAATTGTCCACAGATATGGTATCAAATATATGGCCAATAGTAGACACATCGATAGAAACCATAAGATTATATTTAGTAACTATTTGTTTGTTAAGACAGTTTATGTCATATATATATATATTAGTTTTTAAAAAAAATAAATTTAAGATAATTAGTTAATTGATATCATATATATATATCAATAATAAATATTTTTAGTATACAACAAACCGGTTTAATTAGAAATTTATGTTTAATATATATGTATGCCATTAGTATACCCATATTGTATGCACCAAATCGACAATAGGGTGTCATATAAATTTTATACGATTGTATAGAGTCACTGATAAATTAATAATTATTATATAATAATTATATAATAATAATAATAATAAATAATATTTACACATGTCCATAAATAATAACTGGTAATGCATGATATTTGCCTAAATAGTAAGCGATAACAATCCAACTAATAATTATTGCCAAAACATTAATACCAATACCTATATATTGTTTTCTTTTAAATAAATATATATATAATATATTAATATTATATTATATATAGATAGATAGGATGTATGTGTATGTGTATGTGTATGTGTATGTGTATGTGTATGTGTATGTGTATGTGTATGTGTATGTGTATGTGTATGTGTATGTGTATGTGTATGTATGTGTATGTGTATGTGTATGTGTATGTGTATGTGTATGTGTATGTGTATGTGTATGTGTATGTGTATGTGTATGTGTATGTGTATGTGTATGTGTATGTGTATGTGTATGTGTATGTGTATGTGTATGTGTATGTGTATGTGTATGTGTATGTGTATGTGTATGTGTATGTGTATGTGTATGTGTATGTGTATGTGTATGTGTATTACTATACCTAATTTGTTTGCATGTTAATAATATTGTAAAAACGGGTGACACTAAAAATAATTGCATATCAGCTGATAGATACCAGGTATGATCCAAACACTATTTTTTTAAAAAATTTTAATTATAATTATTATATATATATATTGATTAAATAAATTTTTGTTTTTGTTGTCATACCGGTTCACTAAAATAATTATTAATATACAATAGATTGGTCCAAAAATATCGATGACAAGTACGTACTGATTGGTCGACATACCGGTGCCATAGGGGACCGGTAGCCATAAGTTCGGCAATCATCGAAAAGCCAATCAATGCCAGCAACGATGGCGTTAGTCTCAGGTATCGGTGGACAATATTTTTGATAAAATTATAATTTCTAAGCGATTCTAATCTATTCATATCTCGTACGGTATTGTAGGCGCACAGGAATCCCGACATCAGTAGAAAAGCGTCGACACTATTGCTTGAATTGATTATTAGTTGCATCAGAATATTATTATTCAATTGTTTGATATTTAGAAAATTTACTGAATTTTTTATTTATTTATTATTTTTGGTTGATTTATAGTTTGATTTTTTTTAAAAATTAAAAAAAAATTAAAATTAATTAATAAATTAATAAATTTTGTTTGTATTGAAAATTGTTTTATATAAAAAATAATTTAATTTAGTTTTTAGTTACCTATTGGTTTAAAATTGCTTAACAAATAATTACTATGATACAATATAATTGTCAAGGTACATAAAAAGCGAAAACCATGAAAACATTTAATATTGTTTTGTTGGTGTTGTTGTTGTTGTTGGCTACCGGTGCTCAATAATTGACGGGTGTTTGTATATATTGAAAATGCTAACAAACATTGATAACATTTTCCAGTGCTTGATTCTACAGGTGCTAGGGTTTCAAAATTATTAAATTAAAATTTAATATTTTAAAATATATATAATATATAATATATAATATATAATATATAATATATAATATATAATATATAATATATAATATATAATATATAATATATAATATATAATATATAATATATAATATATAATATATAATATATAATATATAATATATAATATATAATATATAATATATAATATATAATATATAATATATAATATATAATATATAATATATAATATATAATATATAATATATAATATATAATATATAATATATAATATATAATATATAATATATAATATATAATATATAATATATAATATATAATATATAATATATAATATATAATATATAATATATAATATATAATATATAATATATAATATATAATATATAATATATAATATATAATATATAATATATAATATATAATGTAATATACTATATATTTATCTATATAATTATTATATAATATTATAAAAATAAATACTATAAAATACTAATAAAAAAGTCTATATTAGTTTTATTATTATTTTATAATAAATATTAATTTATAAAATAAATTGTATATTTTTGTATTTTTGATTATTGAAAATTACTATTATAATAGAATTAATTTAAAAATAAATACCTATTAAAAAAAATTTATAAAAATAATTAAAGTTAATTTATCTATTTTTAGGTAATATATAAGTCTAGAATTTAAAAGATATAAAATTTTAAAAAAACACTCGAAATACTTGTTTGTTTAATAAAAACATCAATAATTGTTGCTATTATTACAGCTAAAGCAATCACCGAAAAAACACATCTTTATTAAAAAAATAGACAAAAATAATAAATTAATAAAATATTAATAGATTTTTTGTTTTCATTAATTAATTAATTAATTAAACAAACATAATAAATATATGAAACCATTGAAACGGATAATATTTATTTTCAACACAATAATCAATTGTTATGGGAATACCAGATGTTTTTGAAACTTTTAAAACAATAATAATAATATTATTATTTAAATATAATTTTAGTTAAAAATTATTATCATATTTTTCTATTTAAAAAAATTAAAATAAACTAAAACAATAGTTTTTACCTGATTTTAATATGTTATCTAAATCTTGTTGATTGCAAACATTAGGTATACAAATACCAAGTGATGGTGACATCAACTGATTCATTGACTTTTTTTTTAAAAAAAATAATTAATAATAATTAATAATAATTAATAATAATTAATAATAATTAATAATAATTAATAATAATTAATAATAATTAATAATAATTAATAATAATTAATAATAATTAATAATAATTAATAATAATTAATAATAATTAATAATAATTAATAATAATTAATATTAACCTTAATGGTGTCTGGATTTAGAAAATAATTAATCGGCATATTTAAGGTACAATATTGACCATTGAATTTAGTGACCAATTGATTATCATCTATAATATCGGCCCTCATATCCAAACATTCACTGTATTGACCCATAAATTGATAGTTTCCTCTCATAATACCTGAGCCGATGACAGCACTCGAATCGATCACTAGTTTTCAAATTAAATTTTTAAAAAAATAGTTATTAATAAAAATAATTTTTATAAAAAAATTAAAAATATGTTTTTTTTATTAAAAAAATACAATTTATTAGTTCAATAGAGTTAGGATTTTTAGCCAAATAGTTGGCCACTTGTTTGCATTGTTTACTTAAACTATTATCAGTTTTATTGAATTGTGAATATAATTGTCGTATAAAATCATGATTTTTCCAAATCAATAAATCAATAGAACTATTGCATTGAATCAATTGATTACTAAATAAATTTAATAATAATAATAATAATAAATGTATAAAATTAATAATTTTGATGAACATTTTGTAATATATATATAAATATTTATTATTATTATATTAAATATAAAAAAATTTAATATTAATTCTATTCAATTAATTCAATATTTTTTTTGTAAAAAAATAGTAATGAAAATATTTTATTTAACATAATAATAAAACAGCTTAACAAACTTAAAAATATATTTAATTTGAAACAATTTTTTTTTTGAAAAGATTTAATACTGTCATATGTTAAAATATTTTTGTATATTTAAATACAGTATTAAAAAAAACTATTATAATAATTATTTATTTGTTAAGTAAATTAAAAATATTTTCTTAACAATTGTTAATAAGATATTTTTTTGCTGTATAATATCTAGTACTAGTAACATTTTTTTTATTGTATTTTAATATAAAATATTTAGTAAAAATAATTTTGATATATTATTTTTATTTTTATTTTTAATTAAATGACAATCAATTTATCTATTAGACCAAATTTATCTAGGACAAAAAAAACAGCTTTAGCTTAGGCATAATTCATATATATTATTAAAACTGCTTATTAAAATTATTAAAAAAAATTAATAAAATTTTTTTTTAAATTTTATAGTATGATTTAATAAGCATATCAATTTTTGTTTAATAATTTTATTATCATGTTCTAAAAAAATAACGTCAATTTAAAAAGTATTAAAAAAACATGTTATTTTTTCTAAAAAATTATATTTAAAACTGTCATGTCTGCCTAATTGCTATAGCAATAGTAAACAACACCGTACTTAAATATATAATACAAGTGGTATAATAATAAATGTATATTATAGTACTTGTTTATTGTTGCCATAACAATTAGATAGACATGATAGTTTTAAATATAATCTTTTACTACTACTCAATATATATATATATATATACAGTATATATTATTTATAACATATTATATTTTTATAAAAAAATTGCTAAAACTCATTAAAATATTAGTATTAGTAACAGTAAAAAAATTATTAAGAAAACAGTTTAAATTAGAATAACAATTTACCTAGACATTAAAAAAAAATTTAAAAAATTGACAATTACAATTATTAGTTTTAAGTAAGAGGTTTTAAATTTTTTTTTTGGTTATTTTACTATGGACTTATTTCTGTAAATTATACTAAAATTATGAAAAAAATAATTAGAGAGATATTTTAGTATTATTTTTTGTTGTTGTTATGTTAAATACTAATAATTTTTTTTTGTTTAAATATGAAAAAATATATGAAAATTTCAATTTTAAATAATATGTGAAAATAACATATTGTTAATATATATATATAATGTATATATATATTATATAAAAAATAAATAAATTCTATTTTACAAATAAGCTTAGTAATAAAAATGTTATTGTAAAAAATATAAGTGTTTTTAAAAAATCATGCAAATATTTTAACATAATTACTACAAAAAAATTTTTACTACGTATAAAAAAATATTAATAAATAATTTGGTCTTAAATTATACACAGTCATAGAAATTTTTACAAAAGTATTTATTATACAGTATTACTAAAATAAAATATTTGTAAAATAATAATGACTAAAGACATTCAATTTTTAATTTATTAATAAGTTTCAGCTTTTTTTAAAAAAAGAATTATATATAAATTCATGTAAAAACTAAAAGTATATAAATATTACAGAATCCAACATAAAAAACTATTATTTTTATATATATATAATTTTTAGATAATATTTTATATAAATATATATATATAAAAATAGTAAAATTGTTATTTTTTATTATCAAATATAAATTAATTATTTTCTATATACAAGTTATAAAAAAATTAATTAAATTATTATTGAAAAATATTATAATAATTTTTTAGTTTTTTCTAACCACGATTTTTTTTTTTAAAATTACTTTATAAACTATAGAATTTTAAATATAATAATTATGTCTGTATTGTTGTCGCAATTAATTTTGTTAATCATATCCGACAATATATGGACAACAATATCCAGTTTACTAATTGCTTATGTAGTCTACTATTTGGCAAAATTTTATTACCAATACTATTGTCTACCTCCCGGTCCATTTCCATTACCATTGATCGGCAATTTATTAGGTAGTATTTATTTTAATAAACATAAAATTATTTATTAATTATTTATTAATTAATTAATTTATTATTTTTTTGTTAAATAGTTTTTAAATCTAAACAACATTGGGATAACATTTTAAGAGAAATGTCCAAAAAATATGGTCCAGTATTTACATTATATATGGGAAATACACCTCAGATAATGATAACCGATTCAGTTATAGCTAGAGAAGCGTTTAATCAAAATAATTTTGCCGGAAGACCTGATGGTTTTTCTGGTAATTTATATGATTTTATTTTTTTTTTTAAATTAATAATAAAAAAATTATTTTATTTTAATATATTATTATTATTTTAGGAAAAATATTTAAAAATGATATCGTTTTTGCCGATTACGGTCATCATTGGGAAGCACTGAGACGTGTGGCGCACGCGGCCGTACTGTTAGTATATTAATAATAAATTTTTTTAAAAAATAATTATAACATAAATAATTAAATTATTAATAGCATTTACTAGTATAAGATAAATTATTATTATTATTATTTTAATTTTTATAATATTATATTTTATACACATACACATACACATACACATACACATACACATACACATACACATACACATACACATACACATACACATACACATACACATACACATACACATACACATACACATACACATACACATACACATACACATACACATACACATACACATACACATACACATACACATACACATACACATACACATACACATACACATACACATACACATACACATACACATACACATACACATACACATACACATACACATACACATACACATACACATACACATACACATACACATACACATACACATACACATACACATACACATACACATACACATACACATACACATACACATACACATACACATACACATACACATACACATACACATACACATACACATACACATACACATACACATACACATACACATACACATACACATACACATACACATACACATACACATACACATACACATACACATACACATACACATACACATACACATACACATACACATACACATACACATACACATACACATACACATACACATACACATACACATACACATACACATACACATACACATACACATACACATACACATACACATACACATACACATACACATACACATACACATACACATACACATACACATACACATACACATACACATACACATACACATACACATACACATACACATACACATACACATACACATACACATACACATAAATTTAGTTAAACTAAATACTAAATTTATTATCTATATCTATACTCTATCTATAAATTACTAGAAAATATTCAACTAATAAACAAGTCGTAAACGTAGCGGTCGATTGTGTGGACAAAACAGTTGAGGCAATGTTGGAAAGGGAGGGACCAAACAAACCTATTGATCCATTAAATTATACATATCTAATGTTTTTAAACATTTTGGCGAACAGTGTTTTTGGTGAAAAGTAAAAATAAAAATTTATTTTTTTTTAATAATTTTTAAAATAAAAAAAAATGATTAAAATTTTTTAAAAAACAAAATTTAGCTATAATTTCGATGACCCAGAGTTTAGACAATTAAAATATATGCTAAAAGATTCGTTAGAAGAATTAGGACCCCGTATGATGTTATGGGAATTTTCGCCGATTGTCCGCTGGATTGACCAGAAATATGTCCGAAAATATCGGGAATATATCGAAAATATTCGAATATTTATTGGGAAAAAATTCAAATCCCATTACCGTGATTATAATCCCGATATTGAACGTGATTTTTGCGATGCACTTATAGCAGCTAAAAACGATGCCATACGTGATGGCAAAGAATCGGCAGACTATCTGATCGATGATAATCTATTGATGAGTCTAATGGATCTGTTTTTTGCCGGAACAGATACAACACATTTTACATTCCGATGGCTTCTACTGGTGTTAGCCTACTATCCAGCCATACAAACCAGATTACGGCAAGAAATTCTGGCGGAAATCGGCGACCGTATGCCCAGCCATGAGGACAGACATCGATGTCATTATTTGATGTCATATATTTCGGAAACGTTACGATTCAGAAATGTCATACCAATGGGTGTCTATCATAAATCAGTTACTACCAGTAGAATAGGTATTATTATTATACTTATACTACTACTACTACTACTACTACTACTACTACTACTACTACTACTACTACTAATAATAATAATAATAATAATAATAATAATAATAATAATAATAATAATAATAATAATAATACTAATACTAATAATACTAATACTAATACTAATACTACTAATACTACTAATACTAATACTAATACTAATACTAATACTAATACTAATACTAATACTACTACTAATACTAATACTACTAATACTACTAATACTAATACTAATACTACTACTACTACTACTAATAATAATAATAATAATAATAATAATTTATTGAAAAAAATTTAGAAATTTATTTTTTACTGAATATATCATATATATATATATATATATATATATATATATATATACTGTATATAAATATTAATATATTATAATTTTTTTTTATTTAGGCGACTATACAATACCAGAAGGTATGCCTGTGTTTGTATACCAGGGATTCATATTACGCGACGACAACACCAATTGGCCAAATGCTGACCAATTCATAGCCGAACGCTTTCTGGACAGTGACGGCCATTATATGACAACCCGTTCGCCGGCATTCATACCGTTCGGTGTCGGCCGACGTGTTTGTTTGGGCGAAAAGTTGGCCATCGCTGACCTGTTTCTGGTTTTGGTCCGATTCTTACAGTCGACACAAAACTATACAATTTGTTTGGACAGTCATCAGGGTTTAGATGCCGATCCTATTAGCGCTTTCGATGCCATTATGCCATTAAAGCATACAATTATATTGAAACCTAATTAATATTAAACAAAAATCAACAAAAAAAAAATTATTAATACAATATTAATACAATAAACAGTAATATACTGTACTAAGTGTTTGATAAAAATTTTTTTTTTATTTTTAAATATCAATTATATTTCAATTTTTTTTTTTAATATTTTATTAAATCATTGAAAAATTTAGTTGTATTTTTTCATTTTGTTTTTGCAATTTTTTAATAAACAAAAATTTAAAACATAAATTTAATTAAGAGAGAGAGAGAGAGAGAGAGAGAGAGAGAGAGAGAGAGAGAGAGAAGTTAATACAAAAATATTAAAAATTAAAAAAACAAATAAATGAAAAAAATAATAATATACTGAAATTTATATATATATATATATATATAAATATAATGTATAAAAAAATTTAAAATAATGAAAATCAAAATATTTATAAATAGTATTGAGAATAGATTGACACTAAAAAAAAAAATTTTAAATAATAAAAAATATTTTTATAATATTATAATTTATGGTTTAAACCTTTTAAAAAAAAATTAAAACACTCGAACATATAACCTAGTACAATTAACTTGTTTATTAATATTATTTTTTATTAAAAAATTTAAAATGCATTTTTTATTATTATTATAAATTATTAAATTATACTATTAATAAATTTAGGTGGCAAAAAATTTTTTTTAAAAATAAATAAATAGTTAAATTATAGTTTGGCGCCCCCAGTGATTAAAAATTGTTTTTTGTTTTCAACGGAAAACATTACATTTAGAAAAAGTAAAATAATAAACATATATCGATATTAACAATAATAATAAATAAATACATAAATATAATTTTAATAATTTAAATAACTTTTTCAGCATAATATTATAAAAATAATTATTAATTTCTATGCATTAGTTTATTACAGTATATTTTTTTATAATATTAATAATTATTTTTCTAATTATAATAATAGTAATTGAATAAATAAAATAATTAATTTAAAACATATAAAAATATTATTATTATTTGTTGTTGTTTAGATTTCTATAATTTATATACTTATAGTTTTTTTAAAAAGGAATTTATATATAATTTCTAAAAAAACTAAAAAATGACTTTAGTCATTATTATTTATTTTTTATTTTTGTCATACTATATAATAAATCTAGTTTTTTTTAAAAAATAAATTAATTTTTTAAATACCTACTAGAAAACTATCGATACAGTATTTTTTTTTAAATATATTCATTTAATTATTTTTATTTTATTTTCACGAACTCATACATGTAGAAAGGAGTACGTATCTGAATTCTATATGTCCATCTGTCTGTCCGCATTTGATTGAATTTTTAAATTTAAAAATTATAGGGGATCAGCATTAAAATTTTGTTCTATTCTATTCAGGAACATAGAAAAATGGCGACAAAAGTAAAAAAAAATTAGGTAAAAAATAATATATAATATATCAGCATTAGTTTTTTAAATATAAGAAAATGGCGTCAAAAGTATAAAAATTTTAATGTAGGGTAGTGTATGATTTTCTAAGAATTATATTAATAATATAGAAATAATTCAGTATTTATAAATTTTAATACTAAATCATTTAATACCCCACATGTATATATTTGAGTTTAATTTGTTATACTGAATTATTTGATAGCCCATATGACTATATTTGAGTTTAATTTGTTATACTGAATCATTTGATACCCTACATGACTATATTTTAGTTTAATTTGTTATACTGAATCATTTGATACCCTACATGACTATATTTTAGTTTAATTTGTTATACTGAATCATTTGATACCCTACATGACTATATTTTAGTTTAATTTGTTATACTGAATCATTTGATACACTACATGACTATATTTTAGTTTAATTTGTTATACTGAATCATTTGATACCCTACATGACTATATTTTAGTTTAATTTGTTATACTGAATCATTTGATACCCTACATGACTATATTTGAGTTTAATTTGTTATACTGAATCATTTGATACACTACATAAGTAAAGTTTACTATGAATAAGGAGTTCGTAAGGAAATGCTTTCTAGCATTCTCAAATGGTTTAATTTATAATTAACGTTGTAGGGACCAACTAATAATTTACCACCTATGAGAGCATTGACTATTGGTATAGACTATAAATTATTATTATTTAGTAGTAGTAGTAGTAGTAATAGTTGTTCTATTATATGTATAATTTATTTTATTTTATGAAATATTATTTATTATTATTTTTTTTTATTTAATTTATAATAAAATATTTAGTATTATTAATATTATTTATTTATTTTTTTGAAATAATTTTATTATACATACAAACAAACACAATACAAATGTCTATTAATTACAATTTCACTGATAAAGTAGTACTGATAACCGGTTCGAGTTCGGGTATCGGTGCGGCCACTGCCGTCCAGTTTGCCCAATCGGGTGCCAATGTAGTGATCACTGGTAGACGTCCGGACAATATCTCAGAAGTGGCCAAACAGTGTCAGAATATTTCACCAAAAAAATTACAACCACTTGAAGTTATAGCCGATTTAGCTAATGATACGGATATTAGGCAACTATTGTCGAAAACAATCAGACATTTCGGTCGATTAGATATATTAGTTAATAATGCAGGCATTGGTATCTGTATTGATATTAATCAATCAGATTATTATGAAAACTATCTGAAAGTCCTACAAATCGATTTGAATTCAATGGTATTGTTAACCCATTTATCTATTGATTACTTATCGAAAACTCGCGGAAATATTGTCAATATTTCAAGTTTTTCCGCACTTAGAACTGTAAGGATTTTTTTATTTTTTTTATTTAATTAATTAAAAAAAATTAAATTAAATAAATAGTTTTATTACTTATAATTTTTTTTAAATATTTTTATAGACTGTAACCTTATCGCCCTATTGTATGGCAAAGTCGGCAATGGATATGTTTACCAAATGTTGTGCCGCGGAATTGGGCCCTAAATATCATATTAGGGTTAACTCAATTAAGTATATATATATATATACATTATTATATACATAACAATAAAAACTTTTAAAAAAAAATTTTTAGTTTTTAAATTTATTAGTTATTATTTATGCGTTATATACCTTTAACTCTACATATCTAATATTTATCTAATATCATAGGTAGTAATTTTTTTTTATAAAGCATATTTTGTATTAATTAGTTTATTTTAATATTTTATTTAATTATAAAACTAAAAAAACAATAAGTTTATTTTGCTATATTAAAGATAATATTTAATATATATATAGCAGGGTTAAGTAATGTTTTTGATTTTAAGGGGGTCGAGGGTAGGGTAGAGTGAAATTTACAAAATTATCAATAAAAATCTTCGGGGGGGGGGGGGGTCGAGGGTGGATGTAGATTTTTATTGCATTTTCATTATATATATATATAGTATGTATATATATATATATATATATATATATATATATATATATACTAACATATAAATTCATATAATAATAATAATAATAATAATAAATTCAAATAATATTTTATTATATATTTATATATAGATTTTAGTGTGAAATGTAGGGTAGAGTGAAATTTACAAAATTATCAAAAAAAATCTTCGGGGGGTGGGTGGGTCGAGGGTGGGGTGTAGATTTTTATTCAATTTGCATTATATAAATTATATAAATTATATACTAACATATAAATTCATATAATAATAATAATAATAATAATAAATTCAAATAATATTTTATTATATATATATATATATATTGATTTTAGTGTAGGTATTGTTAAAACTAATATATTGATTGCAATGGGAAATACAATGGAAGATTCGGACAACTTTTACGATGCATACGATTCGATAACACCGGTCGGTCGGGTCGGCCAACCCGACGATATTGCCAACGCTGTACTATTGCTGGCCAGTGACCAACATTCCGAGTTTATTACAGGTTCGCAGTTTGTTGTCGATGGCGGCAGTATAGCCGCCAATGCTTTTTTGTGTTAATTATTTTAATAACTTTTATTTATTTATTTTAATAACTTTTATTTTTTTAATTACTTTTATTTATTAATTATTAATTATTTTTATTTTTAACTTTTGTATTTTTTCTTACAATTTTTTTATTTAATTTGTTTTTATATTATTTTTTTTATAGAAATTAATTGACTAATTATAGATCTATGCAATTAAATTATAATTAAATTAATTAATTATATTATTATATAATTAGTTTTATAAACTAATTTTTGTATAAAAAATTTAACAATATTGTATTTATAAAAATGATTATATTGTCATTGAACTATTATTATTATTTTTTTTTTAAATTGTTGTTATTTAATAGTAAAATATTAATCATTTTTATAATTATTTGTATTTTTATTTGCATTTGTTATAATAAAATCTAATGTATACTAAGTTTTTAAAAACAATTATACAAATTGATTTAAAGTAACAATAGAGTAATAGTAAAATTTAATCAACAAAAAAATAAATATCATTTTATATTATTAGTAGTGTAATTAAATAATAAATACTATTAATTGATTAATTTTTAACCAATTGATTTAATTAAATGAAAAATAAATTATTAATCTTTTTAAGTAAAAATTAATTAAAATACTTTCATATATAAATATATAGACAACATTAATAAAAATATTTAAGTTTTAAGTTATGTAATTAAAATAAATATTGAATTATGTATTAAGTATTAAATAAAAATAAATAAAAAATTCATTTATTTAACATGTCAAATATTTTAATAATCTAACAATAATTAATGTTTTATCATTATTTTAGAAATAATTTACTTAAGTTGAAAAAACTTTTAACTATAAATTATATTATTGTATAATAAAATGATTAATTAATTAAATGCTATTTTTTTAATTTTGTTATTGTTACAAAGATATTTTTATATATATAATAATAATTTTTTTATTGTAATTATCCAGGTAATTAAATATAAAAATAATTTATTTACCTAGTAGAAATATTTTTATAGTTATTAAGCTTAAAAATTTTTATCATTTTTTAAAGGTCAGCATATTAAATAAATAAAAAAAAATTTTATGTATATGTATAATATAACTATTAATTAATTAATTTTTTCATATAATTTACTTTTAAATGTTTAATTAAAAGAAAAATTTAATTTTAATTTTTTTTATTAACTATATTAAAATACTTTCAGAATATATATTAAATCTATTAAATAGAGGTATATATATATAAAGACTACAGTAATAAATATATTTGTTTTATTCAAATTTGTATACTATTTATTATTATTTTATGTAATTAAAGTAAATATTGAATTATGTGTTAAGTATTAAATAAAAATAATCATTTATTTAACATGTCAAATATTTTTATAATATAATAATAATTAATGTTTTATCATTATTTTAGAAATAAATTACAAATAAGTTGAAAAAACTATTTAAATATAAGCTATTTTAATGTGTAATGAAATAAATAATCAATTAATAGTTTTTTTATTATAATTTTTATTAAGGAATTTTTAAATAAAATAATATTATTAAAAACTAATGTTTAGTTAAATACTTAGTTTATTTTAAATAATTATTTTTATTTTTATCAATATTAAATATTTGTCTATAGTTAAAAAAAAGTTTATTGAACACTTATTAAAACTAGCATTGTAATATTATAAAGGTAATTAAATAACTATCAATATTAATTAATTTTTTATTAGTCAATTAATTAATATGGACTAATGGTTATTAGGAATAAATATATTGTTTATAATATGACAAAAACAAGTAATTTACGGAATAAAAATTTGTTTTTGGTAATGCTTTCTAGCATTCTCAACTGGTTTTAAAAAATAAAATATTACTTAAAATGTAATGTATAAATTGCGACATCTGTCAATAATAATAAAAAAAAATTAAAACATTTATTTTATTTTCAAACTAACATAAAAATGCTAATTCATATAAATTATTGATATAAGAATAAATTTATTTTTATTATTTTTACAAAAAGTATTTAAGTTCTATCTATTAATTTAAAAAATAGGTTTATAATAAATATTTTGTTTTTTTATAAATAATTATTTTTATAAAAATATCAATTTATATTATTTAACATTAATGTCTTATAATTTAACAAAACAAATTGAAACGTTTTGCGGGTATTTTTTTTAATATTATTTATTAATTTTAATTAATTTTTTTATAAAATTATTTTATTTATAACTATAAAACTATAATTTAATTTATTATTATTATTATTATTTATAGCCATAAACTGACTATCGATTCCGATAAACGTATTGAGTATTTGCGTAAATTTAATAAATTTTTGTCTAACTTTATTGATAATCAATTGATGGTCAACCCAACTACTACTACTGACATACCTGTGCAGCAGCAGCTCCGAGATGTTGGCCAATGGCTTCAAAAGCTAATTGATTATAATTATCAATTAGATGTAGAGGTTGCTGGCGTACATATATTCAATCATTATAATTTGATGGTAGCTAATTATGATGATGATGCTAATGTTACTGGCCAAGCACCGGGAGTTAATGATAGACAACCACCACTACCACCGTTAGTACTACTATCAGATGATCAACAAATAGCATTGGGATGGTTAGCCCATTTGGTTATAACCTATTTCCTATTGATCGACGATATTGTTGATCAATCAACTGAAAGATTAGGCAAAACGTGTTGGCATTTATTGGTAACTAATTTTTTTTGTATTAAAAAAAATAATAATATAAATAAATATATAATAATAATAAATATATTTAAATTTAAATATATATATATATATATTAATTGTTTTTCGAAATAATAAACAATAAATAATATATATATTTAATTATATATATAATTTACTAATTAGTAATATATATATATAATATATATATATATATAGTAAATATATATAATAAATGTATATTTAATATATAGATAGATACATGCTATCTATTATTTATAGTTATAATAATTTAAATAATAATAATAATATTTTTTTTGTATAAATATAATTAAAAAATTATAGCCTAATGTAGGAATGATAGCTCTGAACGATTCTACACTGTTATTATCAGTAGCGTTTAAATTGGCTAAACATTACTTTAGGGACCATCCAAACTATATGGATATTGTTGAATGTATTCATGAGGTATATAATATGAAATAATATTAAATGAAATAAATATTTTTTTAAAAAAAATTTATTTTAATATCAATATTATAATTTAAATTATTATTATTTATTATTATTATTTTTTTAAAAAAGGTGCTTGAAATTGTATCAATTGGTCAGTTAATGGACTTACAGAATACAAAATCGACAAACAAGCATGCTCAATTAGATCAATATACTGATAATTGTTGGGCAACTATTAGCAAGTACAAAGAGGCCAGTTTTGCAATATTATATCCATTTAAACTAGGTAAAATTTATATTTTAATCTAATAATAACTATTACTAATTACTAATTACTAATTACTAATTACTAATTACTAATTACTAATTACTAATTACTAATTACTAATTACTAATTACTAATTACTAATTACTAATTATTAATTAATATTACTATTACTAAATACTATTACTAATTACTATTACTATTACTATTATTATTACTAATTATTAATTAATATTACTATAACTAATTACTATTACTATTACTATTACTATTACTATTACTATTACTAAATACTATTACTAATTACTATTACTATTACTATTACTATTACTATTACTATTACTATTACTATTACTATTACTATTACTATTACTATTACTATTACTATTACTATTACTATTACTATTACTAATTAATTAATATTATTACTATTTGAACAGTACTGGCAGCCACTGGCCAAACTAATCATCCGGATAGACATGCTATGGAGGAAATCATTGTAAAATGTGGCCGATTTACCGGTGCATACAACGACTATTCCGATGTTTATGTCTATAAGGATAATATCGGTACCGACATATCGGAAGGCAAGTGCAGTTGGCTTTACGTACGGGCCCTTCAATTGGCTACTAGTGAACAACGATCGATACTATTAGACAATTATGGTTTAGGTTCAGACAATCGATTGGCTGTCGATAGGATTGAAATGGTTTACAACGAGTTGAATATGAAACAAAAGTTTTGCGATTATGTCAATGAAATTGTTGAAACTATTGAAGAAAATTGTTGGAAACAATTGTCATCGAAAAATTTCCGTCAAATTATTGCCGAATTTGTTATTACTTATTATAATTATATGCAAACTGAATATCAGAATCTAAAAAAATAGTTTAGTTTTAAGAAATCTATGAAAAAAATAAGTTTTTAAAAAACTAAGATCAAAAAATTTTTATTAATTAAATACATTTTATAAATTATTATTATATTAATTAATAATTGTTGTTATTATTATTATTTAATACTAAAAATAATTTATGTTAATTAAATCTATATTTTAACTAATTATTTAAAAAGTTTAAAAATGTTTAAAATTAATTATTCAATAGAGTAAAACAAAAACTTTTATTTGTAAAACAAAATACATTTTTAATATGAATTAGTATTGAAAATATGTTTATTCAAAATTATAATTAATAAAAATTTTTAAAAAATTCTTGACTAAAATTTTTAGTTTAAAAAAAATTATTTTTCATTTTTTTAATTAGAAATATATCTGTCTTTAGTAGAAAACTTTCTAATATTAGTTAATTGACTTTTTAATTTTATTTTTTAGTTTATTAATTAAATGTTGATTAGATTTTTGTTGTTTTTAAATTTTTATATTTTAATCATAACTTATTTTTTTAGAAAATAAAATTAAATATATATATATATTTTTAATGATTTTTTATTATTATTATTATTAATTAATACTATTATTATTAAATAATTATTTTTTGTATTTTTTAGTTAAAAATTAGATTAAATACATAATTTTTTTCTATTAAGTTAATTAATTAAAAAAATAATACAAATTTTTTTGCATGGTTTAAATTCCGTTAATTATTAATTTTACAATTAAAAAATTTAAATAAATTTTTTTATAAAAAATACTACATAATTGTGTATTTATTTATTATTTATTTATTTATTTTTTTAATCCATTTAAATGCTAGTCTTGCCCTTAATCCAGGCCCTCAACGTTGACAATCGTGTATAGACACCGGGATAGTTGGGTCGGGCACAGCCATAGCCCCATGAAACGGCACCAACCAATTTACCTTGGTGCTTGACTGGTCCACCAGAGTCACCCTTTTTTTAAAAAAATAAATTATTATTATATTTATACTGTATATTAATATATAGTTTTTTTTTGTAATAAAAAACTAAATAAAACAAATATAATTATTTAAAAAAAATTGCTTGGTTTAAACAAAAATAAATTATTAATATAATAATAATTAGTAATAATTATTTTAAAATTAGTAGTTGATTTTAGTTTAAAATTAGTAGTTTTTTTTTAAGTTAAAATCAATAGTATTTTTAGTTAAAATTACTAGTTTTTTAAAATTAAAATTAATAGTTGTATTAAGTTTAAAATTAATAGTTGTTTATAGTTTAAAATTAGAAGTTTTTAATTTTAGTTAAAATTAATAGTTTTATATAATACAGTTAAGCACCGGTAGTCATATATTAATATATACATACCTGACACGAGTCTAGGCCACCCTCATCGACACCGGCACAGAACATACGGTCGGTTATATCATTGAAACCGTCGTATTTTTGTTTGCAAACATCATTGGCCACAACGGGTACATCAACAGTCTGTAGTCGGGCTGGTAGGGCACCGCCCTCCCGGATAGCACCCCAACCGGTAACCGTAACCTTATCTTTAGCTGGCAACTGGTCGTTATCGCCGGTCAATTCAATTTTATTGACATTACCCGAACCGAGCGAAAAACGGCCATTAATACGTATGAGACCGACATCGTAGTCCAGTGCCCACGAATCGTACGACTCGTGAGGTATGAGCTCGGCTACGGTAAAGTCGACACCGCCGGAGGCGTGCAATTCAGTACCGCAGCGCAGGGATAGCGATGATGGAGACGATCTGTTTTTAGGGGGGAGGGAGGGGTTAGTTAGTATTTTAATTAGTAATTGAACACTATCTTAACCCCACCCCTGCTCCCTGACCCCCAACACCAACTAACTTACCCGTCTATACAATGGGCAGCCGTTACTACCCATTCATCGCTGATAATCGAGGCGCCACACGAATGGGACGACCGTCTCAGTGAACATTGATGCGGATTAGCACCCGGTTCCGCGTCCGTACCGCCAACTATCAGCACATGGCTATCGTTTTTGATGGCAGCTGTGGCGCACAGGCCTACAGCCATCGATAGGACTAGTAGTCTATACATTACTTATTAGACTAAACTATTAAATAATATAATAAGTTATTTAAACTAAAAATGCTATTTAATTATTAAAAATTATATGAAAAATGATATTTGATTTCATGGTTTATATACCCTTTTTCGACTCTCTCTCTCTCTCTCTCTCTCTCTCTCTCTCTCTGTTTTACTCTCTCTCTATATATAATATATATTTTAAGATAACAATAATTTTTATGTTAGTTTCATTATCATTACATTTTTTTGATAGAAAAAAGTTAACCCCAATTTTATTATTATTATTATTATGTATAGTATAATATATTAATAGTAGAAAATATTAATAATAAATTATATATATATATACTAGCACATTTGTTATAATTTTTATTTTAGTAGTTGATAATTATTATATTATAACTTATAAAACTGTCAAGGATCTAGTTGTAATAATTTAGTAATTTAGTATCTAGTAGATTTATTAATTTATTAGATTTTAATATATATATATATATATATATATATATATATATATATAGTAGTTATAAAACATTAGATTATCTTAAATTAAATAATTTTTTTTTAAAAAAAGATTAGCTAGCTTAAAAATTTATGGCTTTAATTCAATAGGAAAAACAAGTATAATAAATAATAATAAGTTTCACACATAATAATAATAATAATAAAACCCATTCATTACATATTATTAATAATAAAAAATGGTTATAAAAATGTCAGATAAAAAATTATATCAAAAACTATTAAATAAAAATTACTATCTTTTAAATAATATATTTTATATGTTGAGAGAAAATAAAAAATTAATTGTTATAACTTTTATTAATATATTTATAAAAAAAACTATAATAAGCTAAATAAAAAACTAAAAATTATTAAAAATTATTTATAAAACACTTTAATAGTTTTTATTTAAAATATAAGATTATTTTTATTAATAATGATATTAAAAATACAATAATTGTAATAAAACATAATACTTAATCTATATATATTTTATTACAATAATATATAAAATAAATTTAATATATAAAGCATATTAGTTAATTAAAATAAAATAATCTAATTAAATTCACAAATATATATATTTATATTTATATACTGTATATCAATATATAGAAAACTAGATTTAAATTATAATTAACTATTTATGGCTAATACTACATCTAACTAAAAAAAACTATTGTATTATTGAAGTGTAAATCACGACAGCAACAACAATAAAAACATATAAAATAATAATAATAACTTCAAAAAATCTAACCCACCTAACCTAACCTAACCTACTACCCCAACCAAACACACACACACACACACACACATGTATATATATATATGATTGTGTTTGTGTGTGTGTGTTTGTATGTATGTATATAATATTATATATATACATATATATATATACACATACAAACACACACACATACACACACAAACACACACACATATACACACAAACACACATATACACACAAACACACATATATATATATATATATATGTGTTTGTGTGTGTGTGTTTGAGTGTGTTTTTATGTATATATATATTATATATATACATATATATATATACATACAAACACACACACACACCCACACCAACCTACTCAACAGCCTCCTTAACCCTGGGCTGTACACAACATTTTAGCCGATAAATCTGATCGGGTATATCATGAGCTTCGCACCATTTTGGCCGATATAGGTCATCGATTTCCAACAACGAAAATTCATAGTTGCCAATCATGTGCGCCAAAAACGATTTGATAACCAACAGTCCAAAACGATTACCGCAACACATTTGGGGTCCTAGGCCAAAATTCAATAGTGCATTAGCATCCAGGTTAGACCATCTATTCAGGGTTTCCGGATCCAGAAACCTATCCGGGTTAAATTCGTATGGTTGGGGAAATAGGGTATCATCCATATGTATGGCCGATACCTGTAAGACAGTAGTGTTGGCAACAAAAAAAAGAGAGAAATTTATTAAAAAAAATAATAGAGAAATTTCTAGAAAGTTTCTATATATATATATATAAAAATTTCTATCTATAGGATCACCATGTTTAATTTTGTTAATAAAATAAAAAACTAATTAATTAAACTATGATTTAATGATTTAATAAAATCAATAAAATTTTATAAAACTGATTCTTATTAAATAATTATAATTATTTTTTATATATAGGTATCCCAATTTTTTGTTGTTATAGTACTGTACTATACTGTATGATATTATATGTATAGTATTACTGTATATCTTATGTAAAATACACTTGTACTACTATACAATAACTATAGACTATGGGTGATCCTATAGAAAAAACATTAAATACAGGAAATTTCTATAGAAATTTATTTATGAAAAAATCAGTTTCTCAGAAAACTCACAGAAATTTCTATTAGAAATTTATTCAAATAGAAATTTTCTCAGAAAACTCTCACGAAAATTTCTATTAGAAATTTATTCATGAAAAAGTTTTTCAATAAAACTTTCTCACGGAAATTTTTATTAGAAATTTATTCAAATAGATTTTCTAAGAAAACTTTCTAACGGAAAGTTCTATTAGAAATTTATTCATTAGAAATAAAGTTTCCCAGAAAACTTTCTCACGGAAATTTCTATTAGAAACTGTAATTGTATTTGCCCAGGTATCTACCTGTACGTCAATACGATCCCCTGGTTTCAAGTGGACACCGGGCAACGATTTTGCTGCCTCACTGTCCTCTGAGCCCATAAATACACGACGCAAACGTACAGTATTGGGATTAATACGTAGAGATTCTTTGATTGTTGCCTCCATATAGGGTAAGTGTGTTAGAGAATCGTACGATATTTTCTGCCAACTGTCCTCATCATCGGTAACCGTTTCGGTCGATGTTTGATCCAATGCTTCCTTAATTTCGTCGTATAGTTTTGCTTGAATACTAGGATAACGGGCCAAATGTATGACCATTTCACACAGGGTATCGCTAACTGAGCCGAATAGGGCTATAAACTGACTGATCAAATAGAAAGACATTACACGTATGGCCATCGGATCGTCGACACTGACTGTCCCGATAAAAACAATATTTTAATAAAATTTTTAATTATTAATTGACAAAAATAATAGACAATTAATAGAATTAAATAATAGAATTAAATAATAGAATTAAATAATAGAATTAAATATTAGAATTAAATATTAGAAAAAATATTAGAAAAAATATTAGAAAAAATATTAGAAAAAATATTAGAAAAAATATTAGAAAAAATATTAGAAAAAATATTAGAAAAAATATTTGAAAAAATAATAGACAAAAAATAATAAACAAAAATAATTGACAAAAATAATTGACAAAAATATTATAAAAAATAATTGAAAAAAAATTAGAAAAATAATAAACAAAAAATAATAGACAAAAAATAATAGACAAAAAATAATAGATAATAATAATAGACAAATAATAGAAATAAATATTGACAAAAATATTAGAAAAAATATTAGAAAAAATAATAAACAAAAATAATAGAAAAATACTATTGTTATTATTATTAATAATAATAATAAATAATAATAATAATTTCTAAAATTAATAGAAATATATAAAACTAAATAATTAAAACTAAAATCTAAAAAAACAAACAATTTTTTTTAAAAAAAAAACAAACAAACAAAAAATCCAAAAAGAAAATAATACCTTTTCCATTAATCAATTTCAAATAGATGCCGACAATATCTAATTTTTCGTTACCATATTTAGCATCGCTATAATCGTCATCGTCATCATCATTGTCCGTACGATTTTCTAAACGTTTAACCAAATATTCGCTAATCAATTGTTCCAGATTACCGAATGCTTTATCTAAATTGACACCCGTTAGCCAATTGGCCACTGGTTGTAGTAGACCACCGCAATCGGGTAGCCGTACATTGGTTTCGTTCCATTTTAGCTCATCATCCAATCGGACACCAGCGGACATTAGTGACCAATATCGGCGATTTTCGGCCGGATCGTCGGGGAAATAACCCATTGAACTCCGACGGGTAAATGCATACCCGAGATATATGTCCAAAGTTAGGCGTTCGGTTTCGGCTTTAACACCAAACGGTTGGCCGTAACCGATATTCTGGTGGAAATGTTTGACCAAATTACGGGAACATCGGTCGACAACTTCGTCGTAAAATACACGCATACGCCGTGTGGTAAACAATACGGATGTTTCGATACGCAATTGTTTCCAACGGCCAGTGTCTCGGTTGACTAAACTGGAAAATTTGGAAAATTCTTTCGGAAATTTTACGTCCAATCGATTGAATTGTTCGAAATGTTTGACCAATACTTTCTGGACATTGGGTAGATTGCAAACAGTCAGTACGGGTGTATTGTATTCGAATACACTTAAAAAATTTTAAAATTTAAAAAAATTAAAAATTAATAAATAATAGGAGGAAATATTTATTTTTTAATAAAAGAGTAAAATAAAAAAAATTAAGGGGAGGGTAAAAATAGTAAGGTGCAAATGTTTTAGATATATGAAGCACGTAATTTATGAATAAACAATTGAGGTATGATGAGGTAACCATTTTTATTAGATTTTTATGTGTATGTGTATGTGTATGTGTATGTGTATGTGTATGTGTATGTGTATGTGTATGTGTATGTGTATGTGTATGTGTATGTGTATGTGTATGTGTATGTGTATGTGTATGTGTATGTGTATGTGTATGTGTATGTGTATGTGTATGTGTATGTGTATGTGTATGTGAATGTGTATGTGTATGTGTATGTGTATGTGTATGTGTATGTGTATGTGTATGTTAGTCATATTTATCTTGATAAATTACTGTTTTTTAAAATATTTGTTTAGACACTGGTTAGATATTCCTTAACAAACAAACATAATAATAATAATTCCCTCCCCCATCTTTTAGTATCCAAATGTTGTCTAAATGTTTCCTACCCCCTGCCCTGCCCCTGATCCATTGGCTATTCCTAGATTATCTATTTAACTGTTTCCCTATGCTTTAAGCTCTACTAAACCCCGTAACTAAACCCACCCCACCCCAACTAAACAACTATATTTTATTATGTTTAATAAATAATAATAATAATAATAATAATTTTTTAAAAAGCAAATGCTATATTAAACTGTAGTATTGACTGAAAATACTGTATATATATAATAGTATATTAATATTAATATTATAGTACACTATCATTAAATAGATAGTTTAGTTAAATACTATTTAGTTAAATACACTTTAGTTAAGTATAAATACAATATATAATAATTATAAATATTAAAATTTTTTGTTTTTTAATATTCTTTTTTAAAAAATAAAATAATTACCCATAGATTCCTGATTTACCATATTGTTTATACCAGGGTAAATCATATTTGCCTTTTAAAATAGCTATAATATTTCCTAATATAGGAACTGGTCTAGGTCCTTCTATGCCCAATTGGCTCCAATAGTTGACATTTTTTGAATGATTTTGATAAACTAGATATTAATAATTATAATTATAATTAAATAAATTAGTTAATATTTTTAATATATATATATATAACTTACCAATTAATGTAATTATAGATATTATAATTGAAAGTAATATAATAGCAATCATTGTTTAATTTTTATTATTATTAAATAAATAATAAATTAATAATTTTTTATTAAAATATTAATATTTATTTATTTCATAAACAACTATACAGTACTGTATCTGAAAAACAATTGATATGATAATAAATTTTTTTATAAAGTTTTTACTTTTTTAAAAAAATATAATAAATGTACATGATTTGCATATTAATATTTATTAGTATTTTTATACATATACTTATTATACAATAAAGTTGTCAAATAACAATTTTATTTATTATATACAATATATAGATTTATTAAAATAAATTAAAAATTTTATATTACTATTAATATATTAATAGTTTAGATAAATATTTTATTACAATAAATACAATTATAGTATTTTTTTAATAAAAATAAATAAATAAATACTTTTAATAAATTGTAATTAAAATTTTAGTTATTTTTAATTTTAACAAATAAAAATATTAATTAATATTATTTGGTATCTCTATATGTATATGATATATGAATTATTAATTTCTAAATATTTCTAAAACATTTTTTGTTTTGTTTTAGTATATTATCAATCATTAGTAATAAATATTCAGTAATAATAATAATAAATTGTTTAATTAAAAAAAAGACAAGTCATTAACTGTACATTTAAAATATTTTCAATAACTTAAAAGTATTTTTTTTGTTATCTATTAAATAGAAAATTTTTATTATAAACAAAAATATTTTTATATTATATTTTTTTAAAAAAAATAATTTATATTAATTATTACATAAAGAAATAATATTTATTTATTTAACTATTTAGTAAACTATTGAACATATTTTTAAAAAAAAAAATAATTTAATAATTTAAAAATTTATTATTTGTATAGATATTATTTTATTGTTGTTGTTAGTTATTTACAAATTAATTTATTAGTATAGTAATTGAAATATGTTAATGATAAAAAAAATTTTATATAGATAATAAATCAATTATTACTGTATGCACTTATGTGAAAAAATTTATTAGTTAATATTAATATTATAATAAAATAATATAAATTAAATAATAATTATTATTATTCAATTAATACTATTAATTAGTTAATATTTTATATTTTATTAATATACAATACAATATATAAAATTAGGATTTTTTTAAATTTTTTATACAATATTTTTTAAATATTTTTTTTTTGGTTAACTTAGTTTTAAATATTTTATTATTTTTTTGTTATTCAAACCTCTATTAGCATAACATACAGTCATAGCTTATGTAACAAATGTATAGTATATACTGTATATATAAATATTAAAAATTAATTATTATTTTTAAAAAAATATTGATTTTTATTATTATATAATACTAACATGTATATTGTTTTTTTTCAATTAGTATATATAATTTTTTTTATTAATTTTTTAATTTTATAAATCATAATAATAGTTATCCTAATTATTATTTAAACTCTAACTATAATTATCTAATTGATCCAGTATAATATTTTTTAAATTTATTATATAAATGGTCTAATGTTGTATAGTATGCAATAACTGTAATTAAATATATGATATATATTTTTTTTATTCAAAATTATTAAGCTTATAAAACTGTCATTATTAACAAATAGGATCTTGTATTATATAAATAAGATTATCTAGCACATATTAATAAATTTTTTTTTAAAGTTTATAAACTATTTAATATGACAGCAATAAAAATAATAATAAATTTATTTGATAGCTATCTATGAAATAGTTTATTGCATTTATAAGTTATAAATAATATACTTTATAAAGTATATATATATATATATATATTAAATTTAATATAAATAAATATTTTTCAAGATTAACTAGCTAACTAAAAGTTTATTATTATTATATTAAATTATTATTATATTTAATATATATACCGATACTAATTCAATAGATTAAAAAAATTATGTATAATAAAATTTTTGTTACATTTATCAATTTATATTATCTATAAATATTTTTATTATAATATGATGTTATTAAAATGTCAAATAAAAAATTTTTTTATTACAAAATTAATTACTAATTTATTATATACCTTACTGTATCATAAAAACTAATAATAAATAGACAATAAATGATTTTTTATATTATATATATATATACACACAGTATATATAATATATTATATTAAAGATATGATAAAATAATTTCTGATTTTTAGTTTCAAATTTTTGCTAAAAACTTGAACATGTATTTAAAGGCTTCGCCTAATTCACAGTTTAGTTAGTATAGAGGAGACAAACAAACATACAGTTTCCTTAAAAAAAAAATAATAATAATACAAATATGTTGTATAAGACTGTATGTCTGGTGGCCCTAATAGTGGCCTATGTATCGGCCAGTCGGCTCCCCATACCCTACGAACTGTACGTCCAAAACGGTGGTCTACCCATACCGGTTGCATTGCGCACCGGTAGCTGGTATAACATCAGCGCTGCCGATGATGCCGAAGCCCTGATTGTTGGCGGATCCGATGCCAGTGCCGGCGATGCACCCCATATTGTATCGCTGGCCAAGTCATCGCATTTTTGCGGCGGATCCATATTGGATGCCGAAACTGTCATCACAGCCGCCCATTGTATTGACGGGTAAAGTAGTCTATAAATTAATTAATTAATTTTATTTATTTTATTTTTGTAAAAATATTATAACTAATGATTAATGAGTTTTTTTAATTAAAAAAAATATCAACTAATAATAGTTTATAAATTGATTAATTAATTTTATTTAAGTTTTTGAAAAAAATTATAACTTATTTTTTTTAAAATATATCTAATAATTAATGAGTTTTTTTAATTAAAAAAAATATCAACTAATAATAGTTTATAAATAATAATAATAAGTAAATAAATATATAGATATTTTAATTAATTAATTATTTATTTTTTAGCTTTTAAAAAACTAATATATTTATTATTTTTTAAATGTTTAAAATATATAGATATATAATAATAATAATAATTTCTGAATTTAATATTTAATAATTAATTTTAGAAGTTTTTATTAATACTAATTATAAATATTGATATTATATATTATATAATTATTATTTAGTTTTATTATTACTGTATTATTATAACAAACAAAAAACAAATTCAATAATTAATTAATTAATAATTTATTTATTTTATAAAAACCAAACCCAAACCAACCAACCGACCAATCAGTACGTCTGCATCGTCGGTAAAAGTAAGAGCCGGTTCACTGAAACATTCGTCGGGTGGCCAACAAGTATCGGTCAAAACTATCAGAAAACATAGCCAATACAACTCCTATACTATCGACTACGATATAGCCATACTAAAGCTATCGACACCGTTAACATTGGACGGCCAAAATGTTAAAGGTGTCCAATTGCCAGCCAACGGTGAACTGGATAATGGTCAACAAGTATTGATTGCCGGCTGGGGTACTACCCGTGCCGGTGCCAGTACATTGCCCACTAATTTGCAAAAAGTCAATGTCAATATTGTCGAGCGGACGACCTGTAATGGTAACTACGGTTCAGGTAGTATTACCCAACGTATGATTTGTGCGGCGGTTAACGGCGGCGGCAAAGATGCCTGTCAGGTATGTTTGTAGACAGTATATGGATGACCCCCACACACCCAACCCCTAATTACTATTCTATAAATGCCTATAATCAGATAACTGTTCAACAAAAAATTAATTAATTAATAATATGCTTATTATGTTTAGTGATATAGTTTTATAACTGTATCTAATGAGAGATAATAGCTAAATCTAATATTTTTTTTTAATTAATTAGTTATTTATTTATTAGAAATTATATTATATTATTTATTTTGTTTTTTAAAATTATATTATTATTATTATAAGAATTGTTTGTCAAATTTTTTTAGATCATTTAATTTATTACTTAAAGTTAGTTTTTTTTTAAAAAAAAAGAGATAACTAAATATATATTGTATATACTGTATATATATATAAATTAAATTAATTTTTTTTGTTGATAATATTTAATATATAACTCAACAACAATACTATTATTATATTTAGTATTAATAACTAATATAACTTTTATTAATTTTTAATTGATTTTATATAACCCCCCCTCCCCGGGTGCGCACAGGGAGATTCTGGTGGACCACTCACTCAAGGCGGTGTACTCTATGGTGTAGTGTCGTGGGGCCGGAGCTGTGCACTACCCGACTATCCCGGTGTCTACAGTAATGTAGCCGCTTTGCTAGATTGGATAACAACTAACCGTGCTTAAATTATAATAATTAAATAAAATTATTAAACAATTACTATAATTTGGATTATTATCATTAATTAATTATAATTAATACTATTATTATTATTATTGAAAAATTATTATTTTGCTATCTAAAAAAAATTTAATTTAATTTTAATACTGTATCTAAACTTTAAAAATTTTAATAAAATGTTATTATAAATGAAACAACAATTTATTCATTTATTTATTTAGTTATTTATTTATTTTAAAAATTAAAATTTCAATAAACCTATTGTTAGATACTATAGATTTTTTTTGTATAAGAAAAAAAACATATGCTATAATTTTTGATGATAAAATATTTTATTATATAATATATATTAAATCACTATTATATAATAATAATAATCACTTAATATTTATTTTTAAAACATAAAATAATTGAAACAATTTAACTAAAATTTTTTTATCACTAATTATTATTATGTTATCATATAATATATGATATTAAATGATGACCTGATGTTAATTAAATAATTTTTTTTATAAATTAAAACACTATATATATAAATAGTTTTAATAACTGTCTATAACTGGTTATAATAACAGTGTGTTGGTGTGTGTCATAATTATTAGTTGTTAGGGACAGGTAGCTAAAAAAATTATTTAAAAAAATTATTTAATTAAAATTATTAAACACTTCAACAACAAAAAAATAACTTAACAATGAATGACAACAACAACAACAACACACAAAAAAAGTCACCAAAAAAAAGTCTATTGTTTAGTCCGATAACATTGGGATCGGCATCGGGTAGTCGTGGTCTGGGATCGGGTGTAACCCTAAAAAATCGTATATGTGTGTCACCAATGGGCCAGTGTTCGGCCCTGGATGGCGTACCCCAGGACTATCATGTGGTACACTATGGCGCACTGGCTGCTGGCGGTGCCGGTATGGTAATGGTCGAGGCAACCAATGTTGAACCCCGAGGTATGGTTACCCGGGGTTGTACCGGGATATGGAATGACCAACAAGTGGACGGTTGGCGTCGGGTAACGGCAATTATCAGCCAATTTGATTCAGTACCCGCAATACAATTGGCACACGGTGGCCCGAAGGCCAGTTGTGTAGCGTTTTGGGACGGGTATCAGTCGCTGGCCGATGGTGATGATGGTGGTTGGCCAACTATAGGACCCAGTCCGCGGGCATGGGGCGGTCCTATTTGGCGGGTTCCGGCCGAGGCCAGCGTAGAGGATATCCAGGAAATTAGGTCAAAGTGGCTGGAAGCGGCCAAACGTTCGGTAAGGGCCGGTTTTCGGGTAATTGAGCTACACTTTGCGCACGGTTATCTGGTCAGCAGTTTCCTATCGCCGGCCACCAATCACCGTCGGGACCAGTACGGAGGTTCGCTGGAAAATCGTATGCGTCTGGCATTGGAAATAGTGGCCGATGTTCGCCAAGCGGTAGCCGATGCCGACATTGTATTGGGTGTCCGAATATCGGTTACCGATTATGTTGAGGTGGACAACGGCGGCGGTTGGGATTTGCGGCAAACCATGCGATTGGCCGAACAACTCAAACAATTGGACGTCGACTTTCTGGACTGTAGTTCAGGCGGTGTAGTCATGGCGGCCAACGATCATCCGCTAAGTGCCAGTTCCGTACAACACGAAGCCGCCCGACTGGTACAGCAAACATTAGACTGGCCGACGGCCGTAGTTGGCCAGATAGTCGATCCCTTGGTGGCCGAACAATTGCTGAGCAATAATTGTGCTCAACTGGTCATGATTGGCCGGGCTATGTTGGACAACCCGCACTGGCCGTATCGGGCAGCCGATGAACTGGGCGTTTTTGGCCAGGAGTTTCGGGCACCGAAACAGTATAACTGGTGTATCGGCGGTGCCGTCGACAGTGTCGGCAATTGGCGGCAAACAGTACTCAACCGTAACAGTAACAGAGTGTTGGCCGCAGACCAGTCAGAGTCCGCGCAGCAGCCGTCGGCTAAGCGGCGGCTAAGCGAACGACTGATCGAGGCTTCTGCCGAAATCTATGGCCAATTGTTGGCCACTGATTTTGTTCAACAATTGTTGATCGGCGGCGAAATGTCCGCTAGTAATCGGGCCGTTGCCCGACGTAGTCAAAAACAGACACTGGAATTGATGCCCCGATTTCAGCAACTATTTCGTACGGCCATCGAATTGACCGATTCGGACGGCGAACGCCAATTCTTTCGTATGTCTATACAGGCCTGGGATCAAGGATTTCGGGAATATTGCCATAGTTTTCAGGAAATATTTGGACAGTTGACCGCCGATGATGACCAGGACAGTGAAAACACCCGACAATTTGCCAAACATTTAACCGAAGTGTCAACAAGTGGTTCGGTATTGAAAATATTGACAACACTGTTGGCCGGTTGTGTGAAACTGTGGACAGTCTACGATTATGTTCGGCAACAACAACATCGGGTATCATCGGGAATGGCCACCACCACCACCACTACCAACCCGTTTGTCGAATTTCTACTGTTTCGGTCGATGAAACCCGAAATGGGTATGAAATTTATCGGCGATCTAATCGATGCCCGCAGTGGTAGTGGTAGTGGTAGTGGACAGTTGGCCATCGGTAATGATGGACACCAGTTAGCCGATGATGAACTTATTGATGTTATGCGCCAAACGGCTATCTATGAGATGCGCTTTCATAGCGAACTTATTTGAATTTTTTTTAAAAAATAGTTGAAATTAAGAAATAATTTTTTATTAAAATTAAATAATGTAAAAAATTCTAAAATAAGACACAAAAAAAATAAATTAGTTTACGGGGCTCGACCGGGATTTGAACCCGGGACCTCTCGCACCCGAAGCGAGAATCATACCCCTAGACCATCGAGCCGCTTGATGATTGATTGCCCGGTTATTGCACAATGGTAATTTTTTTTATTAATTTTTTTTAAAAAAATAGCCCATAAATAATTTTAGCTAGATAAAAAAGTAGAAAATGCTAAACATCACCCACCAAAAAAAAAACTAATAATTTAGTTTTATAAAAAAAAATCTAAATAAATAAAATAATTAAAATGTTGTTAAAATGTTACTAGTAAATATTTCAGCAACTTTTATTTTTTTTTAGTTAACTTAAAAATACATGTACATTATACATTTATTAATACAGTAATATAATTGCATTATTGATGTTATTAATATTATTATTTGACGTTATTTATGTTTATTTATTATGTATGTATGTATGTGTATGTGTGTRTGTGTGTGTGTGTGTGTGTGTGTGTGTATGTGTGTGTGTGTGTGTATGTGTGTGTATGTATGTGTGTGTGTGTGTGTGTGTGTGTGTGTATGTGTGTGTGTGTGTATGTGTGTATGTGTGTGTGTGTATGTGTGTGTGTGTGTGTGTGTGTGTGTGTGTATGTGTGTATGTGTGTATGTGTGTATGTGTGTATGTGTGTATGTGTGTGTGTGTGTGTGTATGTGTGTGTATGTGTGTGTATGTGTGTGTATGTGTGTGTGTGTGTGTGTATGTGTGTGTGTGTGTGTGTGTGTGTGTGTATGTGTGTATGTGTGTATGTGTGTGTATGTGTGTGTGTGTGTGTGTGTGTGTGTGTGTGTGTGTGTATGTGTGTATGTGTGTATGTGTGTATGTGTGTATGTGTGTGTGTGTGTGTGTGTGTGTGTGTGTGTATGTGTGTGTATGTGTGTGTCTGTGTGTGTGTGTGTGTGTGTGTGTGTGTGTGTGTGTGTGTATGTGTGTGTATGTGTGTGTGTATGTGTGTGTATGTGTGTGTATGTGTGTGTATGTGTGTGTATGTGTGTGTATGTGTGTGTATGTGTGTGTGTGTGTGTGTGTGTGTGTGTGTGTGTGTGTGTGTGTGTGTGTATGTGTGTGTRTGTGTGTGTATGTGTGTGTATGTGTGTGTATGTGTGTGTATGTGTGTGTATGTGTGTGTAAGTAAGTAAGTAACTATGTGTACGTGTTATTAGTAGTATTTTTATGCACATTATTACTGTATTAAAGGGGGGAATGTTTTTTGGATTTATGCCGACTCTCTCTCTCTCTCTCTCGATCTCGAAATTCACAAACAATGTTACAATTTTTATAGTTAAAAAAATTATATATATATATATATTAAAAAAAGAACTCATGTTAAATAAAACCATTTTACTGATAATAATTTTCTTTATGAATTTCGAATCAAATGTAACGTTGTTTGTGAATTGTACATTTTTTTTACACACTACAATTATTTTCCAAATGACTTTTCACATTATAACAAACACATTGATATTTATTACATATATATATATACAGTGTATTAAATGTGTGTTTAGTAACAGTAATAATAATAATAATAATAATAACTAATTAATTAAAAAACAAATTTTTTTAAAAAACAAAATTCGATTTTAATATTTTAGTGTAAAAAAATTTTTTTTTAGTTAACTAACTGACTGACAGTACAAACAGATATCTATTATTTTAAGTCATATATTGATTGTGTTGTTATAAATGTATTGTTAGTTAATAACAACAATAATAACTGTAATAATAATAATAATCATATCATTCAAGTCATCACATATTGTGTGTGCAGTCAGTCAGTCAAAGACAATGACCTACTATTGGGTGATAATAATGGCCATCATATCAATGATGGCCATCACCACCGGTGGTATAGTCATGGCCTCAGTGGACGATAGCCGTGAAGAAGCCGGTGGTCAGTCGCCGCCGGCGGCGGCGGCGGCGGCAGTTGATGGCATCGGTGACACACCCGCCGCCACCGGAGCCGCAGCAGCCGTAGACTCGGATGATGTACTCTACGCGACGCCAAACATCGACAACTACTACATCTACGAACACTTTGACGATCGGCAAGATTTTGATAGCCGATGGCTACGGTCGGCGATACCCAAACCGGACAGCAATGAACATAAATATGACGGCGAATGGGCTATAACTTCGACCACACAGTCGCTAAAAGGTGCGGTCGGTTAGCAGGCATGGGATGGTAGAGGGGTGTGGGGTTTGTCATAAATCAATGGGTGTGACCCCATCACTGGTGGCCAACACTACCATTACCACCACTACCGGTGGTGATGTGTGTGTGTGTGTGTGTGTGTGTGGGGTTTGGCCACCGATTTTTTTGGACACTCGCGGGTGTTATTAGTAATGATAGTGTCTCTTAAGCTCTCTCTCTCTCTCTCTCTCTCTCTCTCTCTCTGTTTAATGTCTCTCTTAAGTATGTAATGATTATCAGTATATCACTGATGGACAGGTAGTTAGTTATATACAAACACACAGATAGCTAACTGTTTAAAATATAGTGTGTCTGGTATTCATCATATTATATATATATATATATTATTAATATATACAGTGTGTGTGTGTGTCTATGTCTATACTTCCGGTATTAACTGTATATATATCTATGACATAATAATTTATTTAAAAAAAAAATTTTATTCAAAAAAAAGGGGATCCAAGCTATTATACAATACATATACAGTATATATATATATATATAGATATATAGTTAGTTTAGTTATGAGATATTATTTTAATACCGGTGTATCAATGTCTGGGACACTACAGTATATTAATATCTCAATTATCGGTAATTTAATAATAATAGACTGTTTTAATGGGTAGTACTGTAGTAGTAGTAGTAGTAGAAGTGGTAAGTAGTGTATGATATGACATACAGTGTATGATATGTGATATTTTATTTTATTTTGTTGTTAAAATGTTATTTAATATTTTAGTTTTTTCTAAAAATTTTTTTGAATAGATTTTCAATGATTTATATATAGACATTAGTATATTAATTATATAATAATATAGTTTTTTTGTAATAATTTATTTATTTCAACAAACAKAGAGAACAAACAATTTTTTTATATATAATTAATTAATGTTATTATTATTATTATTTTATAAATACTATACTACTATACCGTATATGATATAAAAGTATTATATAATTATATATACAGTATATAATGTCGTCGACAACCTATTACGACAATAAAACTATTTTTAATTTTAAATATAATTTTTTTTGGCATTTAATCAAAAAAACAAAACCAAAAAATTTTTTTTTTTTGTTATTACACTTAATGTTACACTAAATTAAATTCTCTGTTATTATATATAAATATATATATATAAAAAAAGTTATATAATATTAATAGCTTTTAAATATTTATATATATATATACAGTACTGTATTACCGGTACTAATAGTATTAGTATATAATTTACCGATAAATATATATATATATATATTAATAATTAAAAAAAACATGTAATGACATTATTATTATCGCACACACACTAGTTTAGCAAATAATTAATATAAATTTTTTTTAATTAATTAATTAATTAATATTTTTTGTATGATTTATGACCCCCCTATTAAAATAATTAGGCGACTCGTGTCTGATAGTCAAAAGTCGGGCCAAACATCACGCCATAAGCGCAAAGTTGGACAAAGTATTCAAATTTCACGAAAACAAACCGCTGGTCATGCAATACGAGGTCAGTTAGTTAGTTAGTTGAATAGACCACCGGTGCTATAGACCGGGGTTAGACAGACACCCTGTTATTAATACCCACTCACTCTCTCTCTCTATATATAAATATATATAAACTATAGGTACAGTTTCGTAACGGCCAGGAATGTGGCGGCGCTTATCTGAAACTATTGTCGGCACCGAGTGGTGACCTCAAGAAGCTGAACGACGGCACACAATACTCGATAATGTTCGGGCCGGACAAGTGCGGCAACGAAATGAAATTGCATTTTATTTTCCAACACCGTAACCCGAAAAACGGTAGCCTACAGGAAAAACATTGGAAAATGGCTTCAGGTGTCAACAAAATTGATGAACTATTCAAAGATAGTCGTTGGCATCAGTTGCGGCTGGAAATCGATACGGATAATCAGTTTGAAATAACAATGGATAAGACTAGCGTCGGTAAGGGTTCACTGTTGGAGGATTTCCAGCCGCCGGTAAATCCGCCGAAATTTATCGACGATCCCAACGATAGTAAACCCGAGAACTGGGATGAAAGAGAACGTATACCCGATCCGGACGCAGGTATTTGTTAATACTCTATACCTATTATTGAATTACCGATAATTTATTATTTTTGTTTTTTTGTGGTTCAATACAACCGGACAACAACAACAACAACAACAGTCAAACCCGACGATTGGGACGAAAGTGAGCCGCGAAAGATGGCCGATCCGAAAGCGAAAAAACCTGATGACTGGGACGAGGATGAACCCGAAATGATACCCGATTCGGAAGCCAAACAACCCGGCGATTGGGATACGGAAATGGACGGCGAATGGGAGGCACCSYTGATTGCCAATCCACAGTGCGCTAAGATTGCCGGTTGCGGTAAATGGTCGCAGCCGTTGATCGACAATCCCCAGTATAAGGGCAAATGGCGTGCGCCGATGATTGTCAATCCGGCCTACAAAGGCAAATGGGCGCCGAAAAAGATAGCCAATCCTGATTTCTATGAGGATCCGAATCCGTTTACTAATTTGCTGCCAATTGATGCCGGTATGTCCTAATGGGGGGTGTGGTCGGGTGTCGGTGAGGGGTATATAAGGATAATATCTATTATTTTGTTTATTTTTTTTTACTCTAAACAGTGGCTTTTGAATTGTGGACCATTTCGGACGGCATAGCCTTCGACAACATACTGATCACTGATGACAAAGATGTTGCCCAACATATATCGTCGCTAACCTATCAAATCAAGAAAGAGTTGGCCGATTCCGAAACGGATAATCTGATTGTCAAAGCTGTCAAATATACTAACAAATATCCGTGGCTTTGGGCCGTCTATATCGTAGCCATTGGTATACCGGTTGTGCTGTTCATAGCGTTCTGTTGTGTATCGCCAGTCAAACGGGACGGCAAACCATCGTCAGCGTCGACGACCGACGGTAATGGCCACTCGTCCTCAGCAGATACTACTGTCAACAGGCCGTCTACAAGTAGTGCCGCCGGCGGCGGCGCTTCTTCTACTAGAAGAAGTGGTGCCACTATTGCTCAACAAACGACAACTAACAAGAAGACAGATGAGCCGCAACCGGACGATCCGAATCTGACTATTGTTGAAGAAGATGACCAAAAGGTTTGTTTTTTTTGTGTTATTGTCTCAATTGAAGACTGATTTACTGATTATTATCTCTCTCTCTCTCTCTCTCTCTTTCTATCTATCTATCTATCTATTGATAGGTTGATGACTATGACGACGACGAAGAGGAAGAAGAAACTGAAGAACAAGATATCGAAGCTCAAGAAGAAGAAGAAGATGACGACGAAGAGGAGGAAGAAGAAGAAGAGGATGAAGACGACAACAACCAAGTGGTTGTTGAACAAGAAATAGTTGAACCGCCGGTCCGGTCATCGCCGCGATTACGCAAATCGCGCGCCCGAAAGGAATAGGGATTTTCAAAAAATTAGTTTTTAAATAATTAATTAATTAATTAATTAATAATTTTTAACACAAACAAAACAAACAAATAATTTAAGATACAGTTTTAGTTTTAATTAAATTAATTAAATATTATTATTATTATTATTATTTGGATTACAAACAGTAATATTATTTAGAGACTATTAGTTACTAGAAGTTTATTACTTATAAATTATTTAAATTTATATAAAACTATAACTCTCTCCTCTCTCTCTCTCTATCTCTCTCTCTCTCTCTCTCTCTCTCTCTCTCTCTCTCTCTCTTTGTGTAAAATATTTTTATTTTATTTTTTGATTGTTTTTAAAATTGAGATATAAATTTCAAAGTAATTTATATAATTTACAAGAGTTTATATATCTATATATATATATATATTATATAATATGATATAAATTTTTTTTGTTTATCTCATTAATAATTAATAATAATTATTTTCTATTTGTATAGATTACTAGTAGTAGTAGTAATAGTAGTTTTGTTTGTTTTAATTTTAAATTGTAATTATTATTATAAGTTTAGTTATACTCTATAGTGTTAATTGTTTGTCTAAATAATTTATTTAATGGATTGCATTGATATTATACAGTATAGTAATATATATTTATATATATATTAATATTTATAAATATATATTTGATTTTTATTATTTATGAATTTTTTTTTCAATTGATCAAATTCATATTTTATTTAAAGTCATTATTATTGTTTATCTAGTTTAATATTATTATTATTATTAATTAATTTTATTTATATTAGTAATAATAGTAATATTATAATTATTATTATAGTATTTCTAGTTTTTATTATTATTATTATTATACGATAGTTATAAAAACTATCGACAAATATCTAGTGATTTTGATTTTTTGAATATTTTTACGGAAAAAAAACAATATAAACAAACAAACAACAAATGTTATTATTTTATTATATAAATGAAATACAATAACACAAACAAATAATTGTCATAATTTTTATGCAAACAAAAAAATATTTTATTTATATCACACACACATTAAAAATAATAATAATTATTGTTATTATTATCTATACATTTAATATACCCGTAAAATACCGGTAAATATAATCCAATAATTTACTAAATGAAATTCAAAGTGAGCTATAATTTTAATTATAATTACCGTAAAAACAATAATAATAATAATAATAAATTGCAAAACAAATAATAATAACATATATTATTATTTTAATAATTTTTCTAAAAAAAATTTAACAAAATTATATATACTTTATATTGAATATACATTATTTATATATATATATATTTAATTATATAAATTATAGATTATAATGTTAAATGTATTTTATGTATATTTTTAATTGCTCACCAATATATTTTTTATCCCCCAAATTATTATTATTATTATTACCGTAGTATCACTCACTAAATAATTATATATATATATACAGTATATTATATTTAGTAATATATATATATATATAAATTTATATATAATTTTTAATTACCGGTAATTATTTTCAACAACAATAAAAAATCATAACTCACTATATTATATACAGTAATATATATATATATTTGATTTGATTGATGTTTATATCTTCCATATATTCAATATATATATTAATAAAAAAATATATATTGATATACAATATATATATATATATTTACAGTATATATCTATATATACTTACTGTATATTATATAATATTGTATAGTTTAACGAGTCATTTATAATAATTAATAATTATATATAAAAAAAAATTTAATAAAAAGATTAATTTGACAACAAATTTGTAAAAAAATTAATTATTATTTATTTAGTTATTTATTTAGTTATCAAAATATACTGTATATTAATATCTATAACTTATAATTAATTAATTAACAATCGACATAATATTATATCGAATGGCCGACCATTGGACAACTGGACCCGACTCGTGACCCACGGGTACCAAACGTACAGTCAGTCGGGACTTGTTTCGGGTAACAACCGGCGACAAGTCGTAACTATCGTCCAACAGTCGCGACCATTGATTGCCTAACGGTTGTAACCATCGGCCAACTAATTGGCCATCAATGTAGACATCGGAGCACTGGTAGCCTATCAGTTGATCAGCTGTCCTGAACAGTCGGACACCATTGTTCATAGAATCTATATCTACGGTAAACTCTACCGGTTTATCAGTATTAACGGCCATTGTTTTCATCAATTGCTTATACGACTGTCCTTCGTAGGCTGAGTTCAACTCATATCGGGTTTCGATACCACTGGCCACATACCGGTGACGTTGACGACTATCCTGATCGGTCGGATCGACTGAATCGGTTAATTTGAGTGCCGGCGGCTGATCGGGTCGGCCATACCAATAGGCAACCGATTGATAGACGGCCGGTTCATTGTCGTCGATAGGCCCGTGTTCGATACCCATTACTAGACCCGATTCAAAGGACAGTCCACCAGTATATAGACGCAGGGCTTGTGTACAATCATTCAGACAGTCATCGCATCCTTTAGTTTCGTAACCCGAGTTGCCATTCAATGCTATATATATATAATAGGTATATTAAAAACAAAATGGGTTAACCCATGGAAAATGGACAGTTAGGTTAGGTAGTGGACTACTAACGCATGTCAAACGTGATACCGTTCCTGAAAAACCAACCCGATTCGTAGAAATCTTCCGTTCCCGTACCGTACAGCTCAGGGGTGTGTTTACCGTCCAAATAGATACGTTCGTCACCTTCCATATAGTCGCGCAAATTACCCGTTTCGATGAGTCCGTGCATAGTATGGGAGACACCGTATACCTGTCCTCTGCCCGTAGTGTTCAGGAATATATAGTCGATACCTATTAGGGGTAGGTATTGAGATAAAAATTATATATATATATCAGGGTTAAGCAACTTTTAGAGGGGGATTTTGGACTTACCCCCCCCCTAACCCCCTTACTTAACCCTGATATATATATATTTAAGGTATAAATTACTAAATATTAATAGATATTTATTGTTGTTTTTTTTTAATATTCAATTTTAAACATAAATATAATTTTTTTTTGTAATTTCTAATTATTTTTTTTACTCATAATACTCGTTAATAATTTAGTTTTTTATATACAGTATGTATATATACAGTATATTTAAATTAAATAATTAAAATAATAAATTAACTATTAATAATTTATATAAATAATAATTAAATTTAATAAATACAAAAAAAACTGTAATAATTTAATTGCTACAAGTTTTATAATAAGTTTATATTAAGATAGTTTTCCAAATATTATTGATAAAACTTAGAAAATTTTAAAAATTATTTTAAATAGTTAATTTATTAATTAATTATTTAATATTTTTTTTAAAAAAATATATATAATTAACCTAACTCATTTTATTTTTCTAGTAATAACATTGTAGTAACTAAACTACAGTTTATACTGTATATTTAAAGTTTATTTAAAAATTATTATAATATTTATAATAATTTTAAACAGGGTCAGTCAATTAAAAAAAACAGTTACTAATATTATTATTATTATTATTATTATTATGATTATTACTAACCTGGCCGGGTAGTTTCATTGCGATAGGTAGCATAAAAATGACCAAGCTGATTTTTGGCAAACTTTTGCTTAATTGACGGATCTTTAACATAGTAGACATCGGCAGTCATCGGAAACTGTCGATAGATATCGTTGGCCAACGCAGCCGCTGCCGCCGCAGCCGGCACTTGGACACTGATACGGGCTCGGGTGGCAAACGGCATTGGCCACCACGATCGGAATGTACCCGTGCGGGCATCGACACTGAACCATAGCGATCGGGTATCGTACATACCTAGACCACTGCCGAAAAATTGACCAACAGGTGTATCAATAGTCAAGTGGCCATCAAACTGGCCAACCAGTCGACATAAGGCCAAAAATTCGGTACTATCTGCTAGTCGTTTACGATAGTCGACACCCGCGTAACGGAACACACGGCTACCCGACCATGTCTGGCCATCGATGTGATAACGATGGCCAGATTCGTCGCCCGGATGATTGGGACCGATTTCGAGTACATCGGTTCTGAGCCATTCATATTGCTGGCCATCGGCGGCGGCGATGGCGACCAGCGAATCGATTTCGTAACGAAATTCATTGAAATCCAATTTCGATGACTGAAACACTTGACGTATATTCAGGTGTGTCTTGTTTTTGGTTAGTTTCGGATCTATGGCTACAGTTTCCTCTGACCACATATTTTCGGTAATACCGGTTATTGCGGTACTGTTCCAATAGCCGGCCGGTTGGCCGTCGATATAGATCTGGGCCACTTGTGCGGCCACACTCGGGTCCAGTCGACGGGTTAGCCGTACGCCCGAGTTTTTCGGGTCGATGCGGGCATAGAATTCGCTGGAACCACCGTTTTGACCGCCGAAAGCCCGGCCATCGTCAACGGTTCGCGGACTACGTACCAGTTCGGGCACCTGTAGCCTAATCTCTCTGATTTCGCCCGAAATGCCGTCTAAGTCTATAATCGGTGTATCAGTCGTCCGAAAATCGACCACTTTATGAGCGACTAGTATTGGATTATCGTCGCCGCCGCCGCCGCCGGCCGTACGGCGGTTACTATCAGGACTACGGGTACCGAAGGCTCGGAGTTGGTCGATAATATCGTCGGCAGTGTCCAGCGGATCAAATGTTTGGACGCCCAGCGAGTCGGCAAACGTACGATAGGTTACGTGATAGTAGTTGGGATTAGTGTCGACCGTAATCTTCATCGACCGGCGATAAGTCATCGGTACTTTGATTACGCCGCCACCTGACGTATCGTCACCGTTGCCGACCAATGGCCAGACAAATGGCGGACCCAGTTGGCCATTGAGTACGTCCTAATCATTGTTAGGATTATGATTAGGATTGAATGATAAGTTAGATTAGGATTTTTTTTTAATTAATTTTTTTTTTAGTTTGTTGGTTAGTAACTAATAATAATACTGTATATAATAGGTTCAGATAATTTAATTTTTTAAATTTTAATTATTTATTTTTTTAATTTAATAAAATTAAATATTCTATAAATAAATAATTGAAAACTTTTTTATTTATTTAAAAACCGGTCTCAACTGTTTTAATTAATTTTGTTTTATATATCTATTTATATACTGTATATTAATTTTTTTTAATTACATGTTACAAATTAAATTAATAATATTTAAATAATAATAATAATATGAAATTAATTGTAATAATTAAAAAAAAATTATAGTAAGTTATAAAATAAACTAAAATGTTTAAATTAGTTTAATTTTAATTATTATTATTAGTAGTAGTAGTAACTATAATATACTGTAACTATTGAATAGTAATATAAAATTAATCAAATTTATTATAGATTTATCTTTATATATATATATAAATTATTAAATAAATTTCAATACAAAAAAAAAATCATTTACCTGTAAATGATTATCAATAACCCGAATGCCGTCCAATTCGACCACAATTTTCCCGGTCTTATTGAAAACACCGTTATCTCTGGTCATCCAAATACTATCGACTTCGCCGGCACCTAAATGTTCGGCAATTATACAGTGGCCGGCATTAGTGGCCACTAGTAGTTTCAAACAGGCAAACGGTCCGCCGTCATCATTCAGGCCGCGTCTATCGAAACTGGAAAACTGTTTCGTATGGACACCGGGTCTCAGTTCGCTTAGACGACTGGCCGATTCACGATACAATTGATACCCGACGGGACCGTTGCCAGCTTCGGTAAAAGTGGCCAATAGTTGCACAATAATTATTAATTTAATTAGCATTGTTTTATTTGAAATTAATTAATTAATTTTTTGTTAACTAATTGATTTAATTTAAATATATATATATATATATAGTTATAGAAAAAAAATTATTTAAAATTAATTTTTTTTTAAATAAAAATAATAATAAAAATATTTTATTTTCCAATTTTCTAAAGAGATTTATATATATTTTTCGTTATTTATAGATATTTTTGTTATCAACATTTTTTTTTGTTCAAATTAAATATTTTTTGTTTAACTGTTTAATTAGAGTGAATTGATTTTTTGTTTTATAATACAAACAAAAAAATATCATTATTATCTAAATTATTTAATATCTAAAATATAATTATATTGTATATTATTTTTTTTTATTTAATAAGTTTTTGCACTTTTATTGAGCAAACAATTATCAAACAGTTATCCACACATCAGGTGTAAAATTTCTCATATATATAGAAAAATTAAAATCAATTAATAAATATTTTAATTGTTATATACATATGTATACCTAAAAAAATAAATAATATCAATATAGATAATGTTGTACTGTATTTATTTGATACAAACAATTAACACACTATTAAATAAAATAATAATAATAATACTAAACGGATTTTTAGTATTTTATTTAATCAATAAATTTTTTTTGATAATTAATTAATTTTTTTATTGTATAATTTTTTCAACAATAACAATAAAATTGATAATAATATCAATAATATAATATATATAAAAACAACAAGGTTAATTTTAGTTGTTTTTAAAAAAATGTTGTGTTCAAAGTCTATAAATATTTAATTTATATATTTTTTTATATATATTTCTAAATTATTATAAAAATAATATACTATTACTGTTTAATAGTAAATAATTTTAATAAATAATTTTTTTTTTGAAAGAAATTATTTTTATAAATTATATTTATTTTTTATTATTTACATTTAAAACTTTAAAATTTTTTAAATTATAAATTTGAAACAAAACACCAAAAATACTCTATTATTAATTATAATTTTTTTTACAATTAAATAAAATTATTAATAAATAAAACATAAATAAAATTATTAATACATAAAACATAATTAAATTACTAATAAATTAAACATAATTAAATACCTTGAAAAAATAAATAAGTAAATAATAATTTTTTAACTTATACTTATTAAAGTAAAATAATTATCAATATATATATAATCAATATATGATATATATATATATTACATAATAAATGTATATATTAAATATATAATAAAACAAAAATAAATATATTTACAATTAAAAAAATTAGTAATTATTATTAAATTAATAAAAATTAAATAGTATTGAAAATAATTAAAAAAAAAAATTGATATTATTTACCATTTCTAATATTAACCCATAGATTACTAAAATCATTATTATTATTATTATTATTTGTATTATCACTAGTTAGTTGATCCATAGTATTATTATTATTATTATCATTACTGGCCATTAATATAGCGGCGGCACCGGTAGCTGAAAAACTTTGTTGCTGTTGGGGTTGAGGAGGTTCACGGGTTGTCTGTTTTTTGGTAGACTGTCTATGATTATCATAATCATCATCACTGGTAGTGGTAGTAGTGTTAACATCATCTATAATAACGATAATGTTGTTATCAGTTGAACTGTTATCTCTTTGACCATCAGCGGCACCGGTAGTAGTTTTGGTGGTAGTGTTGTTAGTAGTAGTAGTAGTTGTAGTAGTTTTCAAGTTATTATTGTCAACCATATCATCGTTGACATCGACATCAAGATCGTCATCATTATTACTGAGATGACAGTTCTCGATGGTTACTATGTTTGTCGACACTGCCATTGAGCTAACGGTTCCCATTGTTGGCTGAGCTCTTAGTCTATTTGATGTCGACTTAGCTACCGGTGTCGGTGTCGATGTCGTTGATGATGACGACGACTCCGAAGACAGCGATGACATTGTATTGATATTGTTGTTGTCGTCGTCGTCATCGCTGTAATCGCCGGTCAGTTCGGTACGCGATATTGTCATCCGTCGCCGATGATGACCACCACCACCACTGCCGCCGCCGCCGCCGCCGAAACGTTTAGTCTTAAATTTTTTCAATAGTTTACTATCTTTTCGTTTATGTTTTTGTTTACGGCGATGACTACTCCGTCGGCCACCGGTTTTGTAGTTGTCATCGGCGTCGCCGGCGTCCTGTTTTGAATTGTGGCCACCAATTGACGGCGGCTCAGGCGATGGTATCATTTTCGGTAAATCGCCAAACGAGCTCAGATAGGATTTAGGATTCTGGGCTTCGGGAAAGTTAGACCAATAGACTGGATCTGTGTATGGGATGGGTGTCAAAAAAAAATAAATAAATAATTATAAAGACATTAAATTTATTAAAAAAAAAAAAATTAATTTTAAGTTATATATATATTATAGTTAATTATTATTATACTGGCATATAATATATAAATTAATTTTTAAAAATTAAATAATAATAATAATAATTAATTAGTTAAGCTATTAAAAATAAATATTTTTTTGTTCAAATAATTAATGTTCAATTAGCATATTAATTATAATAGACATTAAATATATTATAATAAAGTTATAAATTATTTTTAATTAATTTATTTAGGATTCCTATAATAATTTAGTTATAATTTTTTTTTATTGTTGTTATTACTTTACTATATAATAATAATTACTTAATTTATTTTACTAGTTAGTATTAATTAACTATTACTATTAATAATATTATTATTTTATACCTAATTTTTCGCCACCATCATCATCATCATCATCATTGGTAATATGTTTTTTGGCCAACAATTGCCGATCGCTGTTACTACTAGTACTGCAGCCACTATTGATGGACATTATATGATGATCATCATCATCATCGCCATCATCATCGCCATCAAAATGTTCACAATAATTGGTACCTACGATAACAATTTCGGGAACACCATTACCACCACCACTACCGCCACCACTACCGCCAGCACTGGTCGATTCAATTGACTGGCCATTACTGTCGGTCAAATAGTCGCTATGCGGCGGCTGCTGCTGCGGTTCATTGAAGGCCACTATAATTTGTCGCCTAAATATTGATAGTATTGCCGATAGTATGGCCAGAAAAGCGCCGGACATGGAGGCAACCACACCGATCATCATAAATACGACACCAATTGCCATAATGTAGCGCAATATTATATAGCCTATTATTATTATTATTATTATTATAAACAATTATTATAGTTTATTAATAATATTTAGATAAAATGTGCAAGATATAAATATTTATATTATAATTAATTATAATTAATTATATTAAATAATATTTAATACCTTATATATATTTTTAATACCTAATATTTAATAACTTATATATATATATATATATATATATATATAATTTATAGTTCAAAATTAATGTAAAAAAATAATTATTATTAAAAATTTTGATATAAAAATCACAATTAAAAATAAAATATTTTATATTATATTTCGCGATAATACATCTAAAAAATTGGTTTAAATTATTTTAAATATTTTTTGTTATTATTATTTGATATTAGTTAAAGAAAAATTAAATAAAATTAAATAATTAAATAAAATTTTATTATAATAATTATTTATATGATATATATATATATATATATTA